GAGACCTGTCTCAGCATGGAAAACACATCTTTTGTGTGTTGTGTACCCTAATCAAAAATAATGAGGGAATTAAAAATGTCGCCTTCACCACACTGACAAATCTGCATCCAGCGAAAGGCAGCGTGAGACACTGTCTTTTGTGGGGTTTCGACCACCACTGTCGGCTTAATCACACTTATTTCGCTCATGACTTCACGAGCGGCGCTCCGTTCATTATTTTCCGCGAGGTCCGTGTTGTACAAAGGTCAGCGCTGACGCTTCTGGGCAAAGAAATGCACAGTTATGGTGAGAGATCCTGAATAGCAGCAAACCTGCACACGCATGTTGAATTGAGTGAGACGTTAACGTGTTGACGTGTCGCTGCTGCTGTAACATCGGTCTGTTAAGATCCTCTTTGGGAATTTTTTGTCGTCCACTCCATCTCAATCTTTTTCGGTGCAGTCTCACTCATCGTAAATATTGTTCCATGTCATGTAGCCAAACGTGCAGGCCCATGAAAAAGTCCTCCCACAACAAGTCACGTTGGTTTTATGCTCCTGATGATTAAAAAAGCAAAGTAAAGACACGCATTGAAAACAGACGGAGAACCTATGGGTTGTGCTCCATGCTAACCCTCCAGCATATGCCTCAGCAATAGTGGGTGTTTAGCAGTGCTGGCTAAGAGGCTGTGTACTTTAACTGTCATGTAGTTAAGTCAGAGATGAGACTATTCACATGGATCCTGAACATTATCAAGCATTTATTTGCTTGCATTTGCTAATAAAGAAAGTGGGGCTTTAATGAAAATGTTGTCAATTCCTGCTAATCAAGCAGCCGAATGGATGAATTAACGTGCAGCAATTGTGCATTAGCAGAATGCAAATGTTCATGGCCGTGTGTCATGTTAAGATAGAGTAATAATGACAGTCTGTCAGGGAGGGTGGGTGTTGACGGGAGGACTCAGGTGCGGAGATGAGGGGAACAAGGTTTATTGAACAAAAACAGGGTGAATGTCCAGACAAAGTACAAAACAAAGCTGTGGCAAACTGTGGGCAAAGTATCAAAGCAAGCAAACAAGACTGTGGAAAAACTATGACAAAGTAACAAAATAAAGATTAACAAGACTATGACAAAACGTGACTATGACTGTGGCTGTGGCAGAACTATGACGAAACAAACCTGGCGTGGGGGTGACGACGGACGAAAGGACAAGAGACAAGACAAGAAGGCAAGAACGACCCCGCACCAGACAAGGGGAAACGAGGACTATTTAAACACATGAGGGAGGGAAACCCCAGGTGTACACAATAGGTAATCAAGACGAGACATTCCCCCAGGCGTGACACAGTCTTGCCTCAGATGACTGGATTTCTATCTAATATTTAGTTGGATTTGCTCAAATGCGAAACGAGTGATGCAAATTACTTACTGGTAACATGAGACATATAATTAATTTAGCCCACTATATATGTCGCCATGTTGCTAATTTAAACCACCACACAATCCAAATAATTAGCATTTTAATTGAGATTTTAATGATAATCGTCTAAATGTGCCATTTCCAAAGTCGCTTTCCCTCTGAGTCAACTCGAGAAATCTTTTTTGTGTGTATCTTATTACCTTTTCATACACCTCTCTCACACACTTTCTCTGGTTCTGGTAGAGGAAAATGACATTCCCATTCTTCTGAGTCTGATATCACAGCCTGCAAAGCCCTGGATGGAAAAACAATGATAATCAAATCCAAGATATGTGCACCAGTTTAAAGGTCTGAGTTATCTGGCAACAACCAAAGCTTTTGCAAAAAGCCCCTTTGGACAGAAGTGTGATATCATTCTCGCTTTAGGTGCCAAATCCAAACTGCTACTGGATATAAAAACCTGCCATACAAGTTTCAACTTCTCCGTGAAATACTGAACAATAGTTTTAACTCTCAAATCACAAGACAACTTTGTCTAAATTCACTCCTTTAGCAGCAAACTGGGCATCAAATCTGACACGGTCACTAATATTTAGATTTAAAATGTATTTGCTCAAAGAGGTAATCGGAGCCTCATCCACATGAGCTGCAGTCTTTGTGTTACCATGTCTCTGTTTATACATGCATGTAATTTAGTTTGAGCTGCTTGAGAATTGCTCTTTCATTTAAACATTTATGGCTGAATAATCTAAATATTAAAAGTGCTAACTGGAGCGTATCGTAAAATGAGTCAGAATAAACTCTCAGTCAGGTAACTTCTGCTCACAGGTAGAGATGTGAGCAGATCTGGATAGCATAATCATAGATCCCCTGTCCCTTTATGAAAACAGAAGTGATGAGTCAGTGCTCCGCCATCTTGAGACCGTATTAGGGGATTTGATGAGGCCCAAATCTTCCAAATGTACCATTCATAGGAACTCAGATGAGTTTTTAAATGGATTCATAACTGCTGGAGCAAAACTGGAAAATTTATTCGCTTTACAAATTATTTTTCTTGGCTTGTTTATGATTTCTTTATGCTTTTGAGATCTTCAGATACAATCTCCCAGAATGCCTCAGAGAGCTCTTTGGATCTCAACACGCAGATACTAGATTAAAAAGTTAATCAAGCTAAATGTCTCAGGCTCAAATTAACCAAGCTCCTGCAATGTTCTCCACACTTGTAACTGATGTGCTGCCCCAGGATCTAATTCTAGGGTGGATCGACCCAACATTTCCCACACGATAATTTATTTTTTATGAATTCTTTTAGCTAATACATCTTTGCTGAAAACCTCAGCACTTTTTTCTTGATCGAACTCTGGTTAACCTCAAGCAGACTACATGAAGACAACACACTTCTATTGTATATTGTTATTTTATTGTATCTATGCTTCCGTTTTTTCAGAGCCTCTGTCCTCGGGTCCTTTTCCTTCTATAAAAGGATCCATTACTGCATCATACACTCTCCAACTTCTTTCCTGTTTTTACATAGGATTTATTAGTACCTGCAAACAATACCAGAATAACTTTGTTTAATCTCTCCCTGAGGATTACATTTCAGCCTCAGGAAGAGAAGAGGGAGCTTACAAAAGCCTGATGTGAATTGTTTGAATATAAATTCTCTCCACTGAAATAGCTGTGTTCACAGCAGTGACGGCAGATTATTTGATATCCTTCTGCACATGAAATGCCGTGCAGTTTATCCTATAGTGAGTATACTATGAAAACAAGGATGTTCTAAATTAAAAATGTTAATAAAGGAATGTTTGTTGGTATCAATAACTGCATTATGAAAAATTTCCACATATGCGTGTTACCCCATTTGAATTGAATTCAAGGTATTTTTCATGTGCAGGCAGGGGTGAACGGGCACGTGTGTGAATGCATGGGTGTGTTTGTAAGGATTAATCTACCCCAGCTCTCCTAACAAGTACTGAAATAATAATGAGAGCATTGGTTGTGTCTGAGTGGTGTATATGAGAGAGAAGGAAGGAGGTAGACAGCGAGGAAAAACGAGAAAAAATAAAACCAAAAATTTCTAAATGAAATAAGTGTTCATTAAATATTTGATGCCTCAAAACTTTCTGAATGTCAGTAGTTGGGAAAGCTTGTCTTTTCATCCAAGATCCGTTGGGGTGTGAAATCTGAAGAGAGAAATGATAATATCTTAAAGCGCAGTGTGAAATCCTTCCATCCAGCTATGGAGCTAGCAGCAGTACCTGTATGCTTATTCACACAAACACCTTCGAACAAAACCTCTCAGAGTTTTATACCTGTACTCCTGGAGAAATATAAGTGAAAGGGTTTAAGACTGGTCAGCGGCAAACTGATATACTGACCCTTCTCCAGACAGATCTGACTAAATGCTTTGAGGCCAGTCTGTCCTTAAGAAAAGTCAGCTCATCTGCAGGATGTTTTTTAAATGCTCATTCTAGGACTGATTCACTTTTTAGATATTCCCATCTTAATGTCAAACTATGTAACGAAACGTTTTTTCGTGTATGACTTCAAAATGTATTAGACTGATCCTGCCGGCTGTAAAAGTGCACCCACTATAGCACATTAATGTATTCATTTAATGTGTTCATCTGATTAATAAATAATGATCAAATCTGATGAGGTGTGAAGGGAACGAGGGGTCACTTCAGTAGACCGATGAGAGCTTAAAATCACAAAGTTTTTTTCCTGACTTTGGTGTACTTTTAAAATTTGTCAAGACTGAGTTAAAATGTAAAAAGACTTGAATTCCAAGCATAAATTCTTGTCAGACTTTCAGCTAGAAAATGTTTAAATACAGGCAATACAGATGTGTTAAGATGATTAGTCGATGGCAAAGTTAAACATATTTATTTTTGTAGATTTTAATTCCATGCTGCAATTTCAATGACTTGGTACAAAATAATTCATGCAGCATCAGTCATTTCAAAAGTGAAAAACGAGTCACTTACAGATTAACCAGCGAGCATGCCAAAGAGGATCACAATCACTCCATAAAGATGTTCCGGAGTTTGTTCAAATAACTAACAAAATTGAAGTATCCAGAGTCTATTTACGAAAACGAGACGAATAAAAATACCTTTTCTAAAGAGAACGCCACACACCCACCACGTCCACAGAACACCAGCAGGCGTGGCATTTTTAGTGTTCACAATCATGCTTGAGGATCAACTTTAAAACAGTCACTTCAAATTTACGAAAAAAGATAAAGAAAATGATAACCAACTAAAACATGAGGTAACAGCTTGTAAACAGTGTCATTACTCTCTTTAAGTTGGCAATATGAAATTCACTCAGAAAATATGCAATATTTCGCCCCACGTGCAAATAACTGCCTAGATTTTACGCACAAACTTTACGTACAAACGTTTGTCCTTTGACTACGTTTCTGCTGTCACTTATCGGAAGGAAATCCTAAGTTTTGCATATCTTTTCTTGCTATAAGACACACAGAGACCCAGAGTCTTCGTTCCAAGTTCAGACCTTGACCTTCAGTTTGAAAAACGCACAAAGTTGTCGTTCTTCATCTCCGTCCGGATTTCCACTTTTCCAGCTCGGGATTCTAGCTGAGCCCAATCATGACCGTTTCCACATCTTTGGAGGGTCTCCGCTCCTTCACCAGGAAGTTAATCATGCTCTCGGATTTGATCATTAGGTTGCAACCCAGGAAAAATATACCAAACATGACAGTGAGCGACAAGACGCACAGCACCGCGATCTGCACGATACGCATGACGAAGAGTTTGCGCTCATCTTGCAGCAGCACCAGCGACCCTCCTCCGTCCCCGGTCACCACGCTGTCTGTGCTGTTACTTGAGAATGTATCCAGAGCTCCGGCAAGGGTCTGGCTCCCATTAAAAAGCGCGCCCTGGGTCACGTTGAAAAGAGAAATATTCATATTTCCTAATGGATTATCGGCAGCTCGGGACCCCAGTTGACAGATGCACAGTCTCACCACAAAGCCTGAACTCCAAGCAAGGCGTTGCTTCATGTGACTGTACAGACAAAAAGTACGAGGAAGGAAAAACAAATCGCTCTTGACGCACAGATCTGCTGCCAGACATTGAGTTTAGCTGGTGATTCGGTGCGTAATGTCCCCTTTCACACCGCCGCGCAACTGCAGCCAAAGCGCGTCGCGTCAGGTGCAAAAAGTAAGTTTCTTCAACTCAAAGTCCGTCTTTTTTTGTCTCGACTGAGTCTTTTAGAGTGGACAACGCGCAAAGTGCAACTCGGCGTTTTCCCCTGATCTAAAAAAGAGAGGCTTCCGGTGAGCCTGTGGTCGCATGTGAGCTCTCCCTCTGTCACGCGTTTTAAAACGATGATGAGCTCCCCTCGGAGCACACTCCACCACCACCCCTCACAGGAGGAGGTAGGCGGCCTAAGATGGGAAGTGTATGCGGACAGGAAAGAAGAACAAGAAGAACTTTGTCATTGCTTTTCTTCATTATACGGTCACACTCTTTCATAGAGAGAAAGGTGTGTTTTTTGTAAGTATTGCATTTTGTAAACCTTTAGTACACAACACAAAGTCTGTCTACGGCGCATACATGAGAATAAATGGTTGGCCAGTATAGATATTCATGTTGTGCACTTCAATCTGAAACATGATGCACTCATTAACAGCTTCAATTACATTACAACCTATTTGTTCAACACCAAAGGCTTCTCGTGCAAGTTATCAATATCACCTAAAGCAACAACAATCAGCTCAGTTTGTCAGTCTGAGCAGATTGTTGCTGGCAGAGACTCCCTGAAAAGTTATTTCGAGATGTATTTATAGAGTTTCGTGTCATTGCTTATAAAAGTTTGAACTGTGGCTTAGGAACCATGAGAGAGACTAATATAGTTACCATGAGCTGTAACTTAGGGATGAAGACTGTTTATCTTGGCTGCAGATTAAATTAAACTCATCTGGGCAGAAGCACAAACGTCTGAGAGTTTCTATGCAAACATCTCATAAGTCTTCAGTTTTATCCCGCATTCCCTGAAATTGGAATTTAACACTGAAGGTTATTCTCTGGATCAGTGTAGCCTTAGAATACCTATTGAAACCCATCTGATTTCCAACAAACAATGAGTTTTCAATTGGCTATGTGCATTTAGATAACTCTTTGAATGCATCTTCTCACAGATTCCAGTGAGGTGATGATGACTGTACGAGGTATTTCATAGTTGGATGGGACTCAGTAGAATCTCAAAGGATTGCAGTTGCTCTTCTCCTCTAATCTGCCAATGCAATTTAGTTTCATGACAAAATGTGAGTCTAAGAAATAATGTACACAGTACACAGATAGTGTTCCTCTCCATTTTTAATCAGATCTCTCCTGCACTTCTGCTGATGTGAAGCTAAAAGGCTGAACTGCGGCGCTGGATAATTAACAGGGTGTTTAATAATATCCGTCCATTCATTTTCTATACCACTTATTCCTAGTAAGGTCATGGGGGAGCTGGTATGGAGATTAATATTCAATTCATATACATCTATTAAAAAGAAAAAAATAACTTCTTTAAACATTTTTTAAGATAAAACAGACGGGCAGTGTCTGTTAGATTAAGCTGCTGTTTGCTTAAAAACAAAGACCATGAAATTCCATTTGGGATGCCCTCGTCTTCTGCGTAGGCAATGTAAGCAGCATTTAGCCAGCAACTGACAAGCATGTGTATAAACAACGATTAGCTCCATCCACAAACACCTCTCCTGAGCCAGAGCGTGGTTTTCTCTTAGATCATTTATTAATGACCACCAACAGAAGAACATTGCACATTTGTGTTCCGTAAGATCGAGTTACACCGTACTAGTTTCCTTCAATTGCAGCAAATTAATTGGCAGCATGCGAATCCACTTCACAATTCTGCTCCATTACGCGCTGCCGGGTGATTATGGAAAGTTGTTTTTTACTTGCGGCTAATCTCTCCGTCAATACAGAAATCCTCTGCCACGGCTGGAACTTAACAACGCAGCTCTGAGGCCTTAGACCGTGAAACTTCAAAGAATACGCCAGAGAACAAACACGAGCGGTGGCAAAAGTCGAGATTAAAGAGACTTGTGTGAACGTGTCCCTCTTTTGAATTAACTAGAGAATTTGAGCTGAATGTTTTACCTTTTCAAAGCTTTGTGAAGCTAAAAACCTGTTGCTGATTTGAGCGGTCACCCTCTGTGGAGGATCAGTCCGAAGATTTGAACTAAATCCTCCACATTTGGGCAACGCATCATGGAGGGGAATTACGGCACCGGTTACTGTTAATGTAACTGTATGTTTCGACACTGTATCTTCATATGCGGCTGCATATACATGAATTTGAGTGTCTGACTTGTTCCTAAGCAACAGAAGACCTGTGAGCCCAGTGACAGATGGTTGGTGAAGTTATTTTGGTTTAGAGGAAAAAGAGAGGGAGGGAGGAATGAGGTGCCTTCACTGAGGAGTGACAGCCGTGTTCCCAGGACACCGTGATCGAGGTGGGGCACACCGGCAGCGGGAGATGGCCATCGCACAGCCAACATCAAAGTCCAAGTCAAACGGCTGCTACTGGAGAACTATTTGCCTTGGCATTTCTTTCATGTTTCCTCTCAAAACCAGGAGCATTAGGTCCCATCAAAAAAAGAGCAGCGTGCTCCGATGGGTCTCTTCCGAAAGGCCCCCCCGGGGCAAGCACCGCCTCCTGTTCGGCTTTGGCTCTGCTCGCGTCTCGGGTTGAATTTACGGCGGTAGTCATGAGTCCGTCAGCAGTCTGTCGTTGGAGCGTTACCTGTAGTTTCGTCCTGCTTCACACATCGTGAGGCTGAATACCCCAAAATGCATCAAGAATAAGTGGTTGCTTACTTTCTTCATTGAGAAGTGGGAATAGACAAGCAGATTAAGATAAATAAGAAGAAAATGTGTTTTTGCTTCATTATTATGCTTTCATCTGACCAAAGGTCGGTGCTTTAAGGTGTGATGTGAACAGCACCTGCATGGATACAAATATGGCCACCTTTAGAAACAACGACCGTGTTCAGTTGGATCGCTTGTGACGTCTTCAGAAAGATTGCAAAACTTTCTCAGGGCAGTTTTCCTGTCTGGCCACAGATTAAGGTGTGCGCAGAAACACTGGCTTTAAGTCAGCGTGAACCAATCTGAGTGAAAAAGACTGTTCATGATTCAAACAACGGTGGTCGTTGTGCTATTTTAACTAAAAAGGGACAATGAAAGAAATTATATTTATTTCAATAACATGGGGATTCATATAATCTCATAAAACTGGGAAAAAAAGTGAAATTTTAAGTTGATGAAGTTTTTCATCCTCTGACATGTGTTCAGGGTTAATTAACCACTCAAGACACACAAAACAGTATCTTTCATCAGTTGATTCATGACATTATTTCTCTCCGCTGGGTCTCAATTCTCTCTGGAGTCGCAGTGAAGGAGCAACCGGGGAGGCATATTTTGGGAAATGAGTCAGCCGTCCTCTCAGATGTCCTCTCTGCAGGTGTCCACAGTGCTGCCTGACTCCTGTCAGATGCTTGAGAAAGTTCCTCCTGTCAGATCTGGGGCAGACGCAGGGGCTGCCAGCAAGATTTCAGGGTCTGGCCACGGCTGCAATATCACAGTCTTTCCATTTAAATCAAAGCTGAACACTGGAGGAAAGTTTCGACTTTCGGCACGAGGGAGCTGGCAGCCTAGCAACTCAAACTCAAGCAAAGACATCCTTAGCAACGGAGTTTGTGATTGACCCCGCCCCTCCTCGCTGCTACTTTCTAATAGTGGAGCTGACGTGGGGGCACGAAACGACTAAAAATTCAAAACGGATACACAATTTGAATGTGACATACCTAACAGCACAGAGAGGAAGTCTCCCTGGCCCTTTGTGCTCTTGACGGGGTGTTTCGTAACAATTAAGCACCAGGAAACATGTTTTAGATGTTATATATACAGAAAATGTGAAAGGCCATGTTTTGATCTTAAGGACTTTGTCATGTTTGAGTCTCTAAATGGCCGAGTCATTAATTACACACTAGCACAGATTGCACCAGCACCAGAGCAAAGTGGAGCCCCACATTAACCCCACAATAATCAACCATCAGTCATCAAAGGTAATCTAACGAGATAATGACTCTGATGCTTTTGCGGGTGTGTGTGTGTGTTGATCCCTCTCCTACCGCAGCCTGTCTGCCTGAAAAGCTGATAAAAATCTGTTCTTTTTTTTTGTCTCAGGTGAAGATTACCGACTTCGTCATCCCAACTGAGGAATCTCCCGCTCTGCCTCTCCTATTCAGACGTCTCCTGCACTCAGACAACACCCTTTACCCTCATTTCCATTTAGACACACCTCTGCTTCTCAGTAATGTAGGCTAGCATGATGTGTCATGTCTCCTCTAAGCAAATTCAAATAGCTGGTCCCTCTGTGTGTCTTCAACCCCTTCCTCTCAGTTTTTTTTAAGGTCTCATATCTAATGGCTGGTTTCAGTAGACTCCCCACAGCTCTGAGGTCTTGCACTATTTCCATTTCTCCATCCTAATGCATTCCCAGCTAAATCTTTATTTATTAATGCTTATTTTCTCACCATATAAGCAATCATCTTCAGGGGGGAAAACGTAAGCTTGGGATCCGGAGAGGTCGGAGAGGACGGCGGGTCAAATTGCAAAGCGTCAAAACACAAATGCGCGCTGTCCCACTTCGGCGATTGCGGGGCAGATTTCATAAGCTGACTGTTGATTCACCTGCGAGAAACTCATATCGTCCCACTTGACCCGTGCGCCTGTCCATTAAACTCAGCAAGGCAGGAAAGCATAAGCTGGCTAAGGGTTGACCAAACACTGATTTTGTCTGAGCACAATTGCGTTTCCATAGTGGCTCCTTGCAACAGCATTCTCAAACTCGGTAAAAAGCTTAAAGGGCTCCAGATAGATCTGTGACGGGGGTCAGAACCCTTCCATCCCCCCCAGCTTCCCCTCGGCCCCCCTCCTCGCTGCTTGTTCACTCTTAATTGGCTGCCATCTGACCCAGTCTGTAGCTTTTTTATCCAGGAGAAGGAGTGCTGTGCCTTCCCAAAATGCCATTCATGTGAGAGGTCGTTCTCAGCACGTGGCTTTGATGCCAATAGACCCAAATCATTCATTACTGCAGAGGGACTTTACCCGATTTATCCATATGCGTCCAAATCCCGGTGCTAATGAAACAGTTTCCCGTCATTGTTTTTTTTCTTAATTCTCTATTTCTGTCATTTCTCCTTTGCGGCAGTTCTTGGACATGGATGGCAGTAACTTAGCAACAGGCTGGAGACTAAGAACAGGGTGCAGGGATAAAGATTCAATAAATGGACCAGTGCAGAGATAAGAGGCATTGTCTGCTTCTGCAAGCCCCACCGCACACCATCACACACTTCATAAGTTGAGCAGTCTTGACTTTCATGCTCCTCTCATAGTCCTTTGTTTATAGTTTCGCCCTCTTTGTTTCAGTCTGTGCCGATTTACTAATGTTTCACCTTTCACCTGAGTGGAGGGAGTTTTTCTTGTGACGCAGACTTCTCAGACTCAGGAATTCAAACCGTTTTTTAAGGGCTTCGGATTAATCAGAAATAGCTTGTGGCACTTTAGCCCCAAACAAATGTGTCTGAATGTCTGGTGGACAATCATGCACACACTATGAGTTCGACTACTGTGTGAGAATTTTTACTTTAGTAGGTTTTCATCTTCTATGGATACAAAATCACACGCTGAGGATAAATCATTTGGGATTGTGTGGTAATTTTTTCAGTCTGGGCTGTTTTACAGCACAGTACAAACACTTTTGGCTGCAAGCTGCACTCATCTCAGTCCAGTAGAGGGCAGGGTGAACTGGAAAGAAGTGTACTGTACATGCAACAGGATATAAATCGTGTTATGTGTTACATGTCTTTTCTTTTACAAGCAATTTGAATTTAGCCTCCCTATTAATCCAGGTTCAACATTTGAACACGTTTAAAAGGATCATTGCTCTAATTCTGCCACTTTCAGTTTAGAAAATGAAGGTAAATGAACCCAAAAGAGGGGGCGGAGGGCATTGAAGTCTATGACTCGGGGCTATAATTAGTCCGTTTTCATGGCATGATACACCTTAACTTCACTTAAAAGCTCAGGGGGAAAAAAACATAGGCCACCTTAATTTGTGATGGATCGCTTCGTAATTGTCCAAAAGCTGTCAAAATTACAGTTGAAGACTTTACTATCAAGCCTTTGCGTGTACAAAGTGAAAAAAGAAATGGACATGATTGTGAAGTTGACATGCAAACAAATCCACGTTGTCCACTCGCTGGAGCTGAGTGGAGTTTGCGTAAGTGTTACAATTAATCCCTATTTAGTTCCCCATAATCCAATAATAACAAGATAATAAAATCCATTGAAAAACAGGCCTGGACACGTATTCCACGGTGAGCTAGTCCCGGTAACAGTGGAGGGGATGGTTGATGAGGCAACATATGACCCAACATGCGGAAAGAGGAAAGGCGTTCAACTTAAGAAGAGAGCAGACTCTCATCTAACACGAATTAGGAGGCAGCTCCGTTAGTCTGCGGCCATGGGGACGCCGGTAAACTGTGTACTGTCACTGTTTCTCGTTTTGTGCTCAGCATCGAAAGCCTACGGTAAGGATTTCTGTCTTTTAGTACTTTTACCTGCAGAGGTAGGCGGGCGCGCCTCTAACAGAACTCTGGCCAGGATGGGCACACTTTCTGAGGGTCCCGAGGGGGGAGGTTTCTGCGATCCAAGCAGATCCAAGGAGGGCAGAAATACTAGTTGTGGTGTTTTGTAAGCGGGATAGTTTTCCGTGTAACTTCAGTGAAACGTAGCTCATCTTCCCTTATAAGGGAGTGAAACAGCGCCAGGGCGAGGTGACCTCCACCCGTTTTTATAGCTCTGCGCAAAATCAGCCTTTCTTATACAAATGCCTCAAAACGACTAGATTTACTAACGTAAAGGTGATCGAGGCAGACTGCTTCACACATTTTTTATTTACTATAAAAAAAAATCCACATTCCAGAAGGTGCTGTCCCTTTAAAAGTACACACACACACACACACACACACACGGGCAGATGTTATCAACACCATTTAAAAGGTGATGCGTTTTTATTTGACTTGAAAGCTGAAAGCCAAAAAGATCCTTTCAAATCTGTCAGGTTGCGTTACATTAGAGTGAGCCACACCCATAGACAACTCGAGATAAGGGAGACAGATCAAATCAGGGGCTTATGTTTCATGTTTTTTGCCTTTTGTTTTGCTCTTCTGTTGTTGTTTTTTTACACCATTGCTTCCGTTTCCACAGGTTCTAACATATGCACCTCGCAAGGGGTCACCACTTGTCAGCAGTGCCTGGCAGTTCATCCCAGCTGCGCCTGGTGTTTTCAGGAGGTAAAAATGTTCCGGTACAGACAAACTGCCCCTCCCATTCACCAAGTGATGCAAGTTAGAGCAGAGGCCTAATGTCTCAACAGTAATGTTTTTGTCGCATTCCTTTCCTGATTGTTAGCGGGGACCCTTAACCCGGAAACGAAGGAAATTAAGAGAAATGTTTTCCAGTATCTTTCTGCATATGTTTTCCTCAGCGTAAGCTCTTTATGTGAACGCTCATCCGGAATGTATCCGGCTGTTTCAGGAGTTTGGAAAGGGGGGCTCCGGTGTTTCTCGCTGTGACCTGAAACAGAATCTGCTGGACGAGGGCTGCGGGGCCGAGTCTCTGGAGTTCCCCTCCAGCACCATCAGGCTTTTGAAGGACACGCCGCTCAGCAGCAAGGCCGGAGGTACAGCGGACGACGTCACTCAGGTCAGGCCCCAGAAACTCCACCTGACTCTAAGGCCAGGTAGGTCGGCACCTCGCGCCACAACAATGTCCATGTTTCTGCTCGCAGTGCTACGGAAGGCGGACTTATCTATTGATTCTTGTTGTCGTTGTTTCACGTGAAAGGTTGAAGGATGTCCGTGCTGCTGTTTTTCTTTCCCTCCCAGGTGATGCCAAGCGTTTCACTGTGTCTGTGAAGCAGGTGGACGACTACCCCGTGGACCTCTACTATCTGATGGATCTGTCGTACTCCATGAACGACGACTTGTTTCGCCTGAGCTACTTGGGCAACAAGCTGGCGGAGACCATGGGCAAAAAGACCAGCAAACTCCGAATGGGGTTCGGATCCTTCGTGGATAAGACCGCAGTTCCGTACATGCTGATCCATCCCCCAGAGGCCATCCAAAACCCCTGCGTCAAGTGCGTAAGAAGATGTTCTTTGGCATTCTGACTAGAAAGGAAAATTGAGAACCATATGTGCTCACTGATTGGCTCGCCTTACTCATGCTGTGTGCAGAAGGAACAGAACGTGCCAGGCTCAGTTTGGGTTCAAGAACCTGCTGCCGCTGACGGAGAAGGTGGCTCGCTTCACCGAGGAGGTGAAGAAACAGCAGGTGTCGTCCAACATCGACAGCCCCGAGGGCGGCTTCGACGCCATCATGCAGGCCGTCGTGTGCAAGGTAGACACAGACACACATGACGGCCACCGTTTAAACGCCAACCGGTGCTCATGCCCCGGAGGGCTCGTCTCTTCTGCTGCCTCCGTCCCCGACAGGAGAAGATCGGCTGGCGTCCGGACGCCTCCCACCTGTTGGTGTTCACCACGGACGCCAACACTCACATGGCTCTTGACGGACGCCTGGCCGGCGTGGTGCAGCCCAACGATGGGTGCTGTTATCTCGATGAAAGCAATGTTTACAGTAAAAGCACAGTGCTGGTAGGTGGAGAAATCCAAATACGACTTTATCTCAGTTTCGGACTCTCGCAAACTGACACTTTTCAGCACGATGGCCCTTTTGTGTCTTCTAGGACTACCCTTCTCTTGGGCTCATAACGGAGAAGTTATCTGAAAACAACATTAATCTGATTTTTGCTGTGAGCAGCTATGTGTTCTCCACTTATCAGGTAAGCAGAGTGCTCCGTTTGCATAAGTTCCTTTCATTTTAATACACTTACAAAGACGCGCAAAAACCGTCCATCGTCCCTTTTGTTTTCCAGGAGTACAGCAAACTCATTCCCGGAGCAGCTGTGGGAATGTTGTCCACTGACTCTGGGAATGTGATTCCACTCATCGAGGAGGCCTATGATGTAAGGCCTCTCTGAAATTTGGAAAATAAACGGAACACACCGATTTATCTAATCTGCTCCATCTGACAGAAATGTAGAGCAGGAATGATAAGCTGACATGTCATTTCTAATGTTATGCTGAGCAGAAAATCCGCTCCAAAGTGGAGTTAGAGGTGCTCGGAGTCCCGGATGAGCTGAATCTCTCTTTCAATGCCACCTGCCTGAATGGAGAGGTCCTAAATGGACTTAAGTCCTGCTCCGGTCTCAAGATTGGAGACACGGTACGTACCGGTCTGAACAATGTCTAAATGCTGTATTCGCACAACTATCTGAGAAGGCTCTCTTCCTCAGGTGTCTTTCAGCGTGGAGGCCATGTTGCGTGGCTGCCCTGAAGGGAAAAGCCACACTTTTACCATCAAACCTGTGGGCTTCAGGGATTCCCTGGAGGTCACGGTGGACTTCGCCTGTAGCTGCGAGTGCGAAGCGAGGGCGGAGGCCAACAGCTCCCTCTGCAGCGGCGGCAACGGGACCTACGAGTGTGGCATCTGCCAGTGTGACCCGGGGCGGCTGGGGCCGCACTGCGAGTGCTCGCTGGAGGACTACACCGCGTCCGACGACGTCAGCTGCGTCTCGCAGGCCGACGGCCCCGTCTGCAGCGGCAGGGGCAACTGCCTGTGCGGACAGTGCTCCTGTCACGCCAGCGAGTTCGGCCAGGTGTGGGGAAAGTTCTGCGAATGCGACGACTTCAACTGCCTGCGCTTCAAAGGGGAGATGTGCTCAGGTGGGTGGAGGCGGGGCCCGGTGCTACCGGGCTGAGTTTTAGCCACAGGCCAAACCATTTACTCTAAAATCAGTCATTAACAACAGATTCCTCTTACTCACTAAAAGGCAAGAACCATTAAACATACTCCAAAGCCTCAGATTTGTGAGCATTTTGATATTAGTTTTTGCAGACCTCTACTTTATCGGTTGGAAGGAGAACAATCACAGGCTGGACACACAGTCTTCATAGTTACATGTTATTTGTGGTAAACAAGTGTTTCCTTTCACTTTTAGGCATGTCGCCTATGGTTAGTAAGTCCGGAAAGATTGCACCACCACCCCCCCCTTCCTTTTTCCTTTTACTGAGACCTCACCCATCTGGCATATAGTCACACAGTTGGTAAAACTGTTCTCTGTAAATACATTCAATTGGTTTACACAGTTTTCTCTAAAGAGGAAAAAAAACATTTTTTTACAAGGCAACTGCTTTTAATGTTGATACGCCTAAATTCATACATAATTCATAACCTTTGCTAAACGCAAGCACAATGCCTACAAGTGGCCAATTATTTGTCCAGCCTGTGCACCATGTTTATGTTCCATTAAGAACTAGTAAGAAAACACACTCTTTTCCTACTATAGAAAAACTATACAGGTCACTTTAACATTTAGATAGATATAGCGGAGTAAACTTTAACTATCCAACAAAGTTAAAGGCTTCTGCTTTTTCGAAATGAGAACCAAACCAACCAATTATGACAGATTTGTCGTGGCTTTCGAGGAGCTTTGGCAAGTACAAGAAAAATAGCCCATGTGATCTCACAAAGGGATCTCTTCTAGGACTTCAAAGGATGTACAAAGTATGTAGAGTTAGAGTAAATGTGTTCAGACAAGCAAGGTTTCACAAAAAGATGTTAGAAGTCTAACTTTGAAAAAAATAATGGATGTTGATGGGTACCACCTAACTTTGTGTTTACTTAATATTGTTTAAGATGATCAGCGTTATGTGCTTTAATGTCACTGGTTAAAAGTCTATTGTAACTTTATCATGTATATTTTATTACAGGCAGGCATGCCAGGATTATTTTGTCAACTAACAACTATAAAGAGTCCCTCTCAGCTGAGGGTTTGGGTTTTACAGCTTCCTGCGCTGACACCCACGGCTATGGCAGACGCACTAATCTACGCCCATCAAAGTGCGAATGGTGCAAGACAGTCCACAGAGCTCTGGGATTGCAAACTTTGACAGTCTCGGTACAGTCATAATGTTGTGTTTAAAGAGCGGGTGTCCCTCAGTCCCTCTTCAATTGGAGCTATCTTGACCCAGAGCTCAAATGAGCTCCATCGCCGATCCTCTTTGTGGCCGTGTATTTCTTCCATTGCTGTGGGGCTGTGGGACCGGTGCAAGGCTAGGAAGCAGGAGTCAGCAGGCATAGCTTTAGGGACCATAAATATAAGGCAAGAGAGTACAGGAAAGATTGCATTCCTCTGCTGGCAGTTTGCCTCCCTTCTTTCCTCCCATCCCTCTCTTTTTAAACAGTGTAATTCTCTGTTTTACTCTTTGGTTTCTATCTTTGTTCAAGTCCGTTTAATCACGCCAATGTGTTCTGCTTATCTGAACTACCAGCTTGTGATTAATGGACAGGATAACTGTGGAGTCTCACGGGGAGAATAGCACCTGAAAGCTGCCTTTTAAGTGTGTGATACAACTTTTTAGCCAGTGAGAATGACAGCATGCTGATGGAAGTGGCAGTGTTGTTGCACGCATATTATATATTTTTAATGTTTTCAGGGTGTTTTTATGTTCAGTTGTTCTATTGTTAATGGGGTAGGACAGATTAGTCAGCAAGTGCTTTGGAATGTTTTATGTGTGACACCTGCTCTGTGTGATTGACTGTATTGTTACGAGGTAGCTATTTTAACTATTTAAAGGTTGCAGACTTGGTGGAATTGGTGACCTTTGGATCCTCTGTGATATTTCATGACAAGCCACTCCCTCCGGTCCGATCCAGCTGGGCTCTGACTCACACACATTTTTTTTCTTTGTCATCCATCGCCAAATCCTGTTTGGTTTCCTGCTAAGAGCTCTGCTGTCTCTGGGGCTCTGCTGTTGTTTCCAAGGCTGCCCTAATGGGCTGGTTTAGGATGCCTTGCAGTAATCCAGGGAAAAGCTCATCATGTCATCAAACAGCTGACTCATAGGAACACATTTTCTGAAATGACCTGTCTATTTTGCAACGTATGATTCAGCACTGTCTGCCCCCCCCCTCCCCCTACCCCCCAAACCATGTGCTGATTCTTTTTCCTAGAATTGGATGACAGGTTATAACTATTTGTTGACAGAAACAGTTTTGGAAGGACTTACACGTGACATTACAGTAACTACTGATTCAGATGTAAATTGGTGCTTATCTGAATGTTTTAAATAACATCATTTATCAAAAGATTAATCCAACAAATTGATTACAAGAGGCTACATTTAATCTTTGATTCTAAAAATATTAGTCATGTGCCAAAATACCTGCCCTTAATGCACTACACCTAACTGGGGATTACTTAATTGCAGAATTTACAAACACAACCGCAGGAATACCTGCCTGTGCATGCAGCGTGTTTTTAATGTAACCTAGACAGCAACATTGTTTATCATAAATCAATAGAACAACACATACACACACACAGGCTTCAGACAGCAATGCAATGTTTGAACATCCTTTCCTGGCGGCTCATCCCGTGTTAAAAAAAACATTTATTCATTTTGCAATTGAGCAACTTGTATTTCACAGTTTTGTTTGCCCAGTCTAACCCATATGTCGAAACGTGTCTAAATTAATATCAGCGTAAATGTAGCATTTGGACCATGCTTACATTATACTGCAGCTATGCATGCAAACTTGTTCAATACTTCATTTACAGATTTTCCAAATTTGTCTTATTCCACCTTAACTTGAAGTTAGTTATTCCTGTTAATAACAAGCTAAAATAAGAAGTGAGCTATAGAATAAAGGTTATAATTGACCTCTGAACCTTTCATAGTTTTCAATATATGGAGGGTGTCAACATCATGACTCCACATTTGAATCAAAGCAGAATGAAAACAATAAGACAGTAAATTTGTATTTAACTAAAAATAATTACACTAATCAGCTTATTGATAATCAGAGGAGTCCAAGTGGCAGCAGTAATTCAAATGTAAAGAATTGGCCAAATAAACACTAATCACGCAGTTCTTATTTGGCTGCTTTGCTCTGAAGTACAGGCAGGCCAGAGCCCCAGACTTGACAGCGGTTTTCATCGGAAATCTCGGTGATTTCCTGGATGTGCATACCTGTGACGGCTCACACAGAACAAAATGACACACATCGAGGCAAAAAGATATTGAGCTAAGAAAACAGAGCTTGATGAATATTTGGATGAAAATTTGAATTATTTCAGTTTATCATCAGTTGCTTTTAAAAATTAAAGTGAAAACTTTGGTGAAAATAGAGTGAAAAAAAGTTTGCACACATTTCCCTGACTCTTCATTTTACATTTATTTTTTTTCAACATATGAGTTAGAAAGAAAGCTTTTTCTGTGGGCTGAAATAATCTGAATACCATATTTCTCATTTCTGCTGATTGCTGGCTTTTATTTGAAGTGACAGAATCTTTCTGATTAACCTGGTCTTCTTTTTTTTTTTTATTCCTTCAGGTAACGGTAAATGTGACTGTGGTCTCTGCCGCTGTAATGCTGGCTGGACAGGAGAAAACTGCAACTGCACTAAACTTATCAACAACTGCTTGTCAAAATCGGGCCTGCTGTGCAGTGGTCATGGTTATTGTGAGTGTGGGAAGTGTCAGTGCACTCAGCCCGGTGCCTACGGAGACACCTGTGAAATTTGTCCCACCTGTCCTGATTCCTGCAGCATAAAAATGTGAGTAGTAGAGATTCAGACTTTTCTTTTTACACCTACACATGAAAACTATCCTGGGATTCAGTCTGGACCAGTTCAAGGACCCAATAAAATCTACCAAGCTTGACTTCCACCTCCTCAAAACTGTAAACTAGAAAAACAGTTGCCTAATTATCCATGTGCATCCTTGAACATAGCGACATTGGCCATTTAATTGTTTCTTTAATCTGAATGTTGAAGGCTTGGAAAGCTGTGAAAAGCGTAGAATTGGAATGAAATCTGGTAAATGGTTGCATTTTTACAACAAATACAGTGAGCTATAGTCCATGAATGATGTTAAATCCCCTAAATGGCTATATACAAGAGGGACAGAGAAAATCCCATAAAAAAATACTCCTCCTACTCCTAAATTACTTCTAAACCTACACTTGCCATATTTAAGGAAATATAACTTTATGAAAATGTAATTCATCAGATATAGACAGACCTATGCTGATAAAATATGAACTTATAAATTTACCAGATGTCATTTTGATGGATTACAGATTTCAGTGTGGTTACAGGAATATAAAAAAATATGTTAATCGTATGTTTTTGAGGTTTTTATCTAAGACGCACGAATAACGGAGCGAGTACACTAACTCACGCACAGTTTGTGCCATGTCTTATATGTTATTGGTAAGAAAACTTCTAGTTAGAACAAGGAAGCGATCTTCATGATTTTTATCATCACGTTCAGCTATCTGCTTGCTCAACAAATACAGCAAAGAGCAGCTTGTGTAAATTGTTGCTGTTTTACCTTCCAAGATGATTGCACAATCCCCCCCCCCCACACACACACACACATTAGATTCTAGTAATTTTTCTTTTTTTTTATTAGTTTGGACATCTCAGCCATGTTAAGTCAAGCTACATTCTGTCTCTGAACACATTTGAACTGTGTGAGTTGTGGAAGGATGAGGTTGTGTTTTTGTTATTGCAGGGATTGTGTCGAGTGCCTCCATTTCAAGAGGGGGAAAAAATATGCAGACAACAGCTGCAACAGAGACTGTAGAAATGAAATACAAGTAGTGGATGAACTAGGTGACAAATCCTCCATCTTATCTCTCTCTACTTGTCCTGATTGTGCCTGGTGGTGGTAATGTTGTGAAGTAATAGTCCTGTTCCTCATCAGAAGCAATTGAACACAAATTGTTGTCCCAATTTTTTGTCAACTCGTGAATACTGCATGATTTCAAGTCGAGCTTCGTCTTTTAATGCTTTCCTTTTCTTAGATATCCCGGCTTTCCAGGATGCAAAAGTAACTATTCAAAAGAACTGCTCATACAAAGACGAGAATGACTGCGTTGTTCGCTTCCAGCAGTATGAAGACGAAAGTGGCAAATCCATCCTGTTTGTGGTGAAAAAACCAGGTACTGTGAATGTAGGATTTCAGACTGCTAGGGACTGAGCTTTAGGAACGTTATGCATTTGTATCTGGCAATGTTTTATATTATCTGGAGAGCAAAGCACAATCTTATTCTGCACTCCACAGAAAGTAATTACAAAGTGATGGGCCAGATCATTGTGACATGAGCACTAGACTTGATGAGCTGCTAAACTTGATGCAAGTGTTCATGGGGCTCGTTTTTCCTTTTTTCCTATCTGGAATCTCTCAGCCTGCCCTGGGGGTCCTGACACTTTAGTGGTGCTCTCAGCAGTGGCAGGAGCCATCCTGCTACTGGGTCTTGTGGGCTTGCTTATCTGGAAACTGCTAGTCACCATCCATGACCGCAGAGAGTATGCAAAGTTTGAGGAGGAAAAAGCCAACGCCAAATGGGATACGGTGAGGAACTGACTTCAAAAGCAGCGAAAGCTTCACATTTAGGCCGCACAGCTGCCCGCTGTAGAAGAAAGTCTAAACTCAACTGTATTAAGCTGGACTGTAATAAACACCACTCTCTTTGCATCTGTTTCCCAGGGTAACAATCCATTGTACAGAGGAGCTACTTCCACCTTTACCAACGTAGCATACAGAGGTAACTAAATTAGATGGAACATGGAAAAACATGGAACATGGTAAAAAAAAAAGATCAAACGACATCGAACGGGAGTCTCGCAAGAAACATTGATTGGAGGAAGATTTCTTACACTGTCATGAAACCAGATTTTGTTGCAGAAAAAAGTACTGAGAACTGTAATAATTGTGTGTCGTGTAAAAATGGTTTAAATCTATGATATATACTCCTTGTGCTTTCTATGCCAGGACACATTCGTAGCATTCTTTATGTGCCGTATCTGCATTTGTAGAGGTCATTGACATTCAGAGTCAGTTTACACTGAAGCAAACTGCTGCTGCTTCCCCTTTAGTGCTCATCATCTGTAATTCTTGCCTCTGTGTAGCTCTTGTTGAGGAATTGATGCTAAATATGGAATGACTTTTTAAAAGCAGCCAACGAAATGCAGGTTTATGGTGACGTCTGTGAGCCAAAGTGTTTTCAAAATGCAATAATGTTCAGATCTGGGAGATTTATTTTTTATTTCTGCATAATGATTGCTGATTGTTGAGCTGGGTGTATTTTTTTGAATGTGTTCATTGTGTTTCAAGATTAGATTTGTTTTAGATATGCATTTGATGTCCTTATTTTTGTATTTAAACAGACTTTATATCGAGCAAAGAACTTATGTTGTGGGCTTGGTTGCAGTATCTCAAAATGTGGAATGCAAGGTCACTGAAGCCTTTTAAACTCTTTAAACAGATTTGTTACAGTGAGAAATAGCCAGATTAATTATACTTGGCTTTGCCAGCTTTTATGTAATCTTTGGGTTCCTTTCCAAATGTCAGATCTGCTTTTAGCCTTTATTAAAGTCAAACACCAGAGAATATTTGACATTCATGTCTCAATATAAATATGTGACTCTTAAAAAGGGAAATAGTTTTACTCTATTTAATGTCAAAATTTAAATGTCATTTTTTTGTGTAGGATTGCAAGAAATGTAATTGATGTCCTGTGTCATTTTAGCTGGAAGTTTCCAGCTAAATGACACAGTTTAGTTAAACTGTGTCATTTTGCTTCCCGGCCAGTTTTACAAATTAGATACTTGTACTTAATGTTTTTCATGCAAACCATGGACATGAATACTTTAAAAAAATCGGCAATCAATACAGAACTCTTTTGGTAACACATTTGATGGACGGTTTCTAAACACTGAAGGTCAAAATTAGTTGATTTTTGTTCAATATGACTGTCTTTGGCCACATACTCTTCATACATGCTTCATCATACGTGACAATTTCCTAATACAGGAATGTGGACACCCGCTTTTCTTTCTTTGCATGACTGTTGGTCAACTGTTTATTCTCATCCAGATAGTGGTTGTAAGACTTTAAACTTTCCTTTCGTGGAACAACATATTTCAAATTGCAAAAAATGCTGGATTTCACTCCCTCAAAGTGACAAGTTTAGTCATGTAGCAATTATACCATTTTCCCCGAACATCATTTTTAGAAATAGTGTATCATCATCTGCAGTGACAGAAAGCACACAATAAGATACATTTTCATACACACAAGACTATTTTTCTAAACATTTACACTAAGCATAAAAGTATATTTATTTATTTAGTAAGAAAATAAATAGAATTACCTTCAGCAATGTACATTATGACAGTGGCAAGCGTGTTCCTCATAGTTATAAGTAACATGCTTTTAGGGATATGAATTTCCTATACTTTTAGTTACCTTTTACAAAGAACTCCAGGGTATGAGAAAATAGTTACTCTTTCAGCCTAGATTCAGTCCAAAATTCCCATTAGTTAAATAATCAATGCCTGACTTGCTTTAACAGTGAATGAGTCATGGCTTCTTGATATCAGAATCAGTCGTTGTATGTGTCTCCCTCTAGTGTACAGTGTAAAGAGTACAGCTCGTGTCAAACAAGCATGAACATCTGTGCATTAAATAAATTGAATTAATTTACTGCAAATAGCCTAAAGTACTATATGCAGTAAAACCAGAGTTTTCTCAATTTCATGTGGTATTTTTTGCATGAATATTAGCATAGACTACTTTGTATGAGACATTTTTTTGTTTTTCCATTTAACCCAATTTGTGTTAATTTAATCACGTCATTGCCTCATTTTAAAAATGCCAGTTATCACGTGAGACACCTTCTACTTGTCAGAAGCGAGTATCAGAGAAAAATAACATTTTTTTTGCTAGATAGTTTTTTTAAAGCTCTAAATGACAGATTCTGTAGGCAAAAAATGTTTTAAATTTGTATTTGTTTGTTTTGCATACGCTTCGTCCTAATTGTGACATGTATTATATATCAATAAACTTTCGCGGCTGCCCAGTTTAATTACAGAAATTTCCGGTTGTCCTCGAATGCACCACTCAGCAACTTCCGGTCTTAGGTCTGTTTCGTCAAATCCATCATGGCGGCGGTCCACACCATGGACGGAGTGGAGGGAGGCAGCATCGAAGCAGGTCCTGTTCTGTCGGAATCCTCCACCGGAGACCCGAAGAGACCTCAGTTCGGGACGCGCCTCCTCACAGACCCGCGGCAGGTTTTCCAGCACAACGCATGGTTGGTACCAGAGATCCACACGGGCTCACGGTCCTGTGCATCCCTTGGATGGGACATCGTCTTGAAGTTTTAGATGGAAAGTGACACTTTTGTCATGTCAGATCATTTCTATGTTTTGGGGGATGTGTTTGTTCATATTCTGCCTACTTGTGAAATTCATTACAAACCAGTAATAAAGAATCTCACCTGGTATCAAATAGTGAAAAGAAATTATGTGAGTTATTTAAGTTGTGTTGGTTTAAAAAAGATACCTGCTATATATTTCTTATTTTTTGCTTTTTACTCTAAATGTTTTACCTTGCCAAACAGAACAAAACATTTCTGATAAAGATCTGCATAAAAAAATGTCTTTATTATTGTAAGTCAATTATGTCAAGTAAGTCAAGTGCTTTACTTAAAAACATTTTTGCACATTTTGCCTATGCAAGAATCAACACAATGCATCAACAGCTTGGCTGGTGAAAAGAAAAAAAAAAAACCTTACTGGTTACATCAGGCATCTTGGGAGTGACAGACATCTGTGCTGTGGAAACACCACTCTGGTTAACGCTGTTTTGTGGTCATCAGGGACAATGTGGAGTGGACCGGCGAACAAGAGGAAGCTGCCAAGAAGAAGGTCCTGGAAAACAGTCAGCCTCTCCCCTCAGAGAAACAAGGTGGCATTATGGCTGTGTGTCACATGGCTCAGGAAAATCTATCGTACAATATGACCTGAACAGACCTGTAACTGTTCTGTTCTCATCTCTGAGAAAATGTGTATGATAATGGCACGGTACTTGTTTCACTTTTTTGGTGGTTACAGGGAACTTTATGCGTGGTCTTTGTCTTATCAAGCTGTACAAAGTGTCCAAAGTGGACTGTGTTATTCCAATAATGTCCTTCCCTGTTCTGCTTTTTTTAAACAGAGGAATACGACAACCGGGCCAACGAATATTGGAATGAGTTTTACACCATCCATGAGAATCGCTTTTTCAAAGACCGCCACTGGCTCTTCACGGAGTTCCCAGAGCTGGCTCCGCAGTGCGGCCTGAACCACGAATCCCAGTCGGACCTAACAGGCCCATATCCCCGGCAGCACATGGATGCAGACGGGAGGCAGTGCGGGGATTTGGCGGCTCTGTCTCTGGACGGCTGTGGCTTTCCTGGCTCTGCTGCCGCGTACCGCATCCTGGAGGCTAGTTTCCCACCTTTTCACCGCGCACACTCAAAGATCAAACAAAATATCCGAATCATTAACTGTGGATGTCTTGGATTGGGCGCAGGTCGGCTGTGGTGTGGGTAACACCGTCTTCCCCATTCTGAAGACCAACAAGTAAGACCACGCTGGACGCTCTTAACAGCCTGAGGTTTGACGTGGCCTTTCTCCTGTGTAACTGCAGCTTTGCCTTTCAGCGACCCCGGCCTCTTCGTTTACTGCTGCGATTTCTCCAGCACGGCGGTGGAGTTGGTTAAGGTGAGATGATGCCGGAGATCATTGTAAAACGGCTGGCGAGCTCGGTGATGAACGAAGATTTTCTCTGGTCATCAGACTAATCCGGAGTACGACCCCGAGCGCTGCTTTGCCTTCGTTCACGACCTGAGCGATGGAGAGGTCCAATACCCCGTCCCCGATGGAACCCTGGACGTCATAGTGCTAATATTTGTGCTGTCCGCACTGCATCCCGACAAGTATGTACCTCGTTCGTCGCCTTCTTTCCTTAAGCCTTCGTGTGCGTACTCTTAAAGATATGTCTCCCCCCCCCCTCCTGTTTTAGGATGCAGTCGTCCATCACTAGATTGGCACGTCTGCTGAGGCCTGGTGGGACAATGCTTCTCAGGGACTATGGGCGTTACGATATGGCACAGCTCCGCTTCAAAAAAGGTTGGTCAGGCTGAAATCCAACCTAAAAACAAAGCTCCGGAAGGAATATTGTGAATATCCTCTCCTATGAGGTCTGTCTGTTTAGCAGCATCGCTATAGATTGATGCATTTGGTTTCACTTACAAAGATTATTAGCTGCATTTTTCTAACACTTGTGGTAAATCTTTCCCCATATAATATGTTAAATGAGAGGGTATTTATCTAAATTGAAGTCAGAATTATGTTCATATGGAAGTGTATAAGTGAATGTATGTTTGTTTGATGTTTGCCGTTTGCTTTTTAATAATGTTTGTCATCATTTCTTTCAGGGAGATGTCTTTCAGAAAACTTTTATGTCCGAGGGGACGGAACACGAGTATATTTCTTCACTCAGGGTAAAATAAGGATGGTTCACCAAAGTCCTTCGGAGACTGTTTTTTTGCTTATTCTTTCTCTGAGTGAGTAAAAACTTGATGTGTCGGTTTCTTTTTTTTCCGTCAGAGGAGCTCCATGAGCTGTTCACCGGGGCTGGGCTGGAGAAGGTTCAGAACCTCGTGGACAGACGGCTGCAGGTGAACAGAGGCAAACAGCTCACCATGTACAGGGTGTGGATCCAGTGCAAGTACCGCAGGGCCTCCTGAGGCCCGGGGCGGGGCCCGACAGAAGAACCCACCCGGCCTGACGCTCAGCTTCAACCGAAACTTTGAGCTGACCTGAAAATGGTGCTGGCTTTTTCCAGAGCGCGTATGGACCCGACAAGCCTTATGGCTGTCCTAAAGGAAGACAACAGGCTAATCTAAGGCTTTCCTCTATCTCAGCTGCCATAATGTGGGAGGAATTGTTTGATACTTGGATGGTGCTGCGGCGTTGCCTACAGTAGTGATGACTATCCACCGACGTGTTCAGTGGTCCGAAAAAGGGCTGGTTACTCCATGAAAAGGTTTCTATTCTACAATGCATAGTTTTTAAGTTGCATATGTTTTGAAATAAATTGTAAGACTTTTAAAACGTAAAATGCTATTTTTTCTTTCTTTCTAAGAATATTCCATTGACACAAAGGGTGCATATTGGGATTTTGGGGGGAAATATGCTTCATGAGTGTTCTGTGGTTATTCCTGTTCGACCTTGTTCTACACGTACTGCACGTGGCTTTTTTAGCTACAGCGGGTGTGTCGACTTGCCTTTCATCCATGTTTGTCCCCTATATGGACTGCGTGTATTAAATCATATATATCAAGAAGGGATGGTAAAATACTTTTTATGTTTATCTCTAACAGTAATATATTCTATTCTCAAACACTTTAAAGTTGTAATCAGAATAGTAAACATCCAGTTCTTTGTGTTGCTGTTGTTTTGTGTTCACAAATACATAATTTTGGTCAGTGTTGGCACAAAATATTTTTTTATGTGTGTCTGTGTAACAGTGGTTTAAAAAATGGGTTTGAATGTTTTATTCACTTTGAAAGGTTCTCTGGTAGATCCATTTATGAATGATTGGCTTGTGGGATGTAAATTAGTGTGATTTATTAGTATTGATATTGAAAACATAAGACGTGGATGTAAAAGTCATTGGGATGGCAACTTTCTGACGATAATTCCATCCCCAGTAGTTCTGTGGGTGGGCGCTGTATAATTGCATTGTTTGGACTGGGATTTGCCATTGGTCCAAACGAGATTTGGGCAGGCGTGGACAGAAGGAAGGTGAAAATTCTTGAACGATCTCACGAGAAAACATGAGATTTTACTGATTATTGTTTACATTGCAAAAACATGAGAACCGAACCGAATCGATCCGGATCCAACTAAAGCGCTTCTCGCAGCCCAACTTCCGAAAACAGATTGGGTCATTATCTGCAGCTGGTCAGGAGACTGCAGACGAACTTTGTTTTGATCGAGCTGGAAGCCAGGACCCTAAATTCATCGCACCAACGGGGGAAGAAGATACCGATAGGGGGTAACTAACGATAGCTTAAAGACATTACTTGTACCTGCTGAAAATCGCAAATTCCTCTGAGTCGCAATTGTGTGGAGCGAGATACCAGAGCAGCAAACGGCATGGTTCTCAGAGGGAAGGATACGATGGGGATCCCCGCCTAAGGAGTGTAGAAAGGCGGGCTTGGGATACCCGGAGTTGCCGCGGCCTCCAAGGGAACCCTCCGTTGTCTACCTTGAGCTTCACAGCCCGCTGTCGTGTCTCGAACGTTAGCGACCAGCACGCGAGGGACGCGGCTGTGGATGCGGCCTAGCCTGGGAGGGTCTGCCCAGCACCGGTGAAACAAGCTCCGGAGGAACGAGCAAATCTTACATTACAGTAAGTGTTCGCCTAGATTGCCAAACAAAAGAACATTGTTCTAGAGGGGGTCGTTTTTTTTGTTTTTTTTTACTACAAGAGTCCAGATGTCGTGGCACGATCACCTGGCAACGCAGGACTGGGAAGATGCTTCTTTTGGGGTTAACGCTAGCCCGTTGGATTCCCAACGTTTACCAGTTCACTTTATCCTGCATTAATTGGTATGTTTTTCACCAGTGGCCACGGAAGCCTTCTTCTACGTCTGGCTCAGCGGGAGTCAACTGTAAATGTTTTTAACGTCTATATTTCGACTAAATCACATCTAATATTATTAGCTAAGCAGTAGCTGTAACCCGAAATGCTACGCTAAGTGATGGCCAACATCCGACGGCTCGTTAGCTCGTTGACCAAAAATTAGCGATGAGAAGTTCACTTTAAGTCGTAATGTTGGGCCATATAATGTAACTTGACATAATCCGTACGAGCAACACTAGTGAACAGAATGCTGACTTACATGAGCTAGACCACTAAACGTTACTGTTTATTTCATGTAAGCAAACCTTAGGCAGGCAGTTAATGTTGGTGTTGGGCGTGTAACTTAAACCTTCGTACAGGCCAGCAAACTGGGCACTTATTGTCTGTCGTGGCCTTTTCTATTGGTGTGAGTATACTTGGCAGTCTCTCTGTTACTGACCTTTTTGTACAGCGCCATGCAACTTAGGCCTGTAATGTCAGGGCGTTATCAAGTCATGCCATAAATTTCCATGGAGTGACTCTATACGTTTGGCTTTCGTCTCTGAGGCATATTATGGATGTATATTTTTTGTTTCTGGTTCTAAATCTGGCCACATTGTGCCCTTTACGCGGTGGGTGTCTTAACAGGGACAAATGGTGTCCGCTTGCTGATCCTAAATAATGGTTTTAAAACGTTGTCAGGCTGATTGATGACTCAGAACAGGAATTTTCCACATCCATATAGCTGAAAACAGCCATGACTCATCAAAACTAATTCCTTTTGAAATGGTGATCCCTCACTACTATCTGAATATTCCAGCCTCTTCGACGTGCTCCTTAATATGTGCTCTTGTCTCTGCAGCCATGATGGAAGAATTGCACAGCCTTGACCCTCGACGGCAGGAGCTGTTGGAGGCTCGCTTCACCGGGGTCGGTGTGGCAAAGGTTTGTATGGCAAAGGATTTGTTTAAGGTGGGAGCAAATGAGTTATGTCACATCAAGTGTTTACAGCTGCAGATTATAAAAAAATTATGTACTTTGGTGAATCACTATTCTTCTTTATCCCACTTTAGCTTGGTATCATTTTGTTGTTTGTCCTAGACAAGCTTGGCCTCACTTCTTTTCTTTGTCTGTCTCTGGAGAAGGTTGAGCCGTGTCTGTGTTTTTTGGCCGGTTCGACATGGCATCTCTCCCTGGCTCATGATGTAGTGGCTGTATATGCAAGTGGCGATGGCTGCCAAAAAGGCCACAGACGGTACAGGGGTGGTAAGGGGAGGAGGAGTAGATGGCAGAGCAGGAATGGAGAAATAGTTCCTGACCAGGTGTAAGTGAAGGCTGCATTTAGCCTCCTACCCCCCCCTCCATTACACTACATGGATGGAGTCATCTTAGTGGAGGGTGATCTTGGAACTGTTAGGGAGATGGAGTCAGTGCCAGGAGTGTGGGCCTCCTGCCAGCCATAGGCAGGGCCCGAAGCATGGCATGGCTGCTGCCGCAGAGAAAATGGTGGCTCTCGCTGAGGCATCATGCCACAGTCACCCCGTATGACGAGAGGTGTAATGTGTGTGTTTGGAGAGAGAGTTAGGGAAGTTTGTGAGCAGATGGATGGGAAGAAACATGGGTCGGTGGTCTAAAAGCTGTTCAATGTCAGAGTGGTTTGGTTTATTTTTCTTTCCTGACCTTGGATAGCCTCCTGGCACTGCTGCTCTTCCTGTCATCTCGGAGCTGACATTAAAGAGAAGACTGTTGTTGTCCTGTGAGGACAGAGGAATGGAAGACATTTTGATAATGGAGCAGAAAAGTTGCAAAGTGCTTTTCCTTTAGAACAAACCGTCCAGGTATATTTTTGGTAGAGGTGGAGCGGAGAAAAAAAAAGCTTTAAATCTTAGATCAAGCAAATCGTCCATGCTCTGGCTTTCTTCAGAGAAGAAAAGGAATATTCAAGACCACGGTGCATCGGAGAAAAATAGATGACATTTTCTAAAGGTGACAGACAGAGGGAGGAACGCATTCCCAGCTGCATGCCTAATGCTCAGCCATTTTAGGAGGGTTCAGTGAGAGAGCGCTGGTGTGCTCGGAATAACTAAGTATCTCTCCCTGATTGGACAGTGCCAGCTGAATTCTTATGTGATTCACGTGATTGACAGGCGTCATGTTGGGAACTGGTATTAGTACTGATGCTTTTCTATATCGAGAGGGGGAGTTAATACAGTAGTGATGATATAAAGCCAGGCCTTTCTGTGTCTCTCAGCAATTTTTTTTAAAACTCTTTTTTTTTTGGTCAACAGGGTTCAGGCCAGAGTCAAAATGAATCATCCAATCAGAGTCTATGCAGTGTGGGCTCACTCAGTGACAAAGAGTTGGAAGTAAGCGTCTATCTTTTTTTTTTGTGCCAGTCTTATCTGTTTTTGCTGGATTTTTGGTACATGCTCTGCTTCCCTTACAGACTCCTGAGAAAAAGGCCAACGACCAGAGAGTGAGAAAACGCAAAGCAGACCACTTTGACAGCAGCCAAGGTATGAATGCCCTCTCTGCTTTTGCCCCTTCATCCCGTCTTTCACGTACGACCCTCCTTCTGAACACTATGCCCGTCCCTTTTCAGGCAAAGCAGGTGCAAGAGGACATAAAATTAGCGATTATTTCGAGGTGAGTCGCAGAACGTTTTCAGCTACTCGTTTGAGCAGCGTCCATTTCCTCGAAGATACATTGGTATCAGATGCGTAACATTCCATACTTACTCTAACCACTTTGTTTAGCCATCTTTGTCTTTCCATTAAACTACTTTTCCTCCTTCTCTTCTTCTTCCTCCTCCTCACTGTCTGTATGTGTCTGTCAGTTTGCGGGAGGTAGTGGTCCTGGTACCAGCCCTGCCAGGGGAATTCCACCAGTGGTCCGCTCTTCCCCACAACACTCTCTCTCCAACCCTCCTGTCATGGTGAGCATGTTTGCTCGATGGTGTTTCTCACGCTTCTTCTTTTTTTTTTTTTTCTCTTTAAATCTCAGCACTCTGTCTTGTCATTCTCTCCTCCTCTTGTCAGTAACACCCAGCCGGGGAAGTTTGCTTATAAATGAGCAGAACCTTATGCAGTCTGTAAACGAGGTGCAGAATTGATCTCACCATTGATTTTGAAAAGCTAAAACAAAGAAAGGGAGTCATGAAGGGGAATATAGTGTCACAGTGCAAACACACCTTAGAAGGCACAGAATGGGAGTAATTGGGTTGGATTGACCTGTTTGAGATGCTTTTTGTTGTTTTGATTTGGCTTTTGGTGCCTTACGTCTCTTCATGGTAAGGTTAGCTGGGATCCGTTGAAAAATGCCCTAGGGCCACTTGACTTAACGTGCCTCCACCCTTGCTTCTGATTTACTTTGCCTGGTTTGTGCCATGTTTATTCATAACATGCTTCATTACAAACGTAGACACTGAAGGATTTCGAGAGGTTCTTATTGGTCAGTGTTTCCGTCTCTCAGGTGCAGCAAGGGAGCCCCTCCTCGGTCAGCTCGGCCATCACGGAGCACTCCACATGTCCAATGAAGCCTGCCTCCCTGCTCGTGCTCCACAAAGCCACACAGGTACTTGGTGCGCGTTTGGGGGCGGGCTGCCTGTTTGCATAGTTAACTCCTTTATTCTTAAAAATAAGTTGATGAAACACAAACAAGGAATGTGATGATAGTGTGGTCTCCTTGTACTAAATTTCTACGGGATGGTCCACGATTAACACTCTTGTGCTCACTGTACCCTTTAGTCTGACCTTACTATAGAGAAACTAACCGCAATGGAGAACAACAAGAACTCTGACCTGGAGAAGAAGGAGGGCCGAATAGACGATTTGCTGCGGGTACTAATCTCATTACATTTCATCCCAGCTACTCTGTTTGCCTTTTTTCCAGTGGTTTTGTGTATGTCATGTTCACTGTAATGAGTTTTCACTCAAAGCACGTTTGAGCTGTCACATTTCTTCTGTGCATGTGTGAACATTCAAATCTTAACAAACGTCTCTCACCTGACTGTTTCATGCACGCTCCTCTGCTCTGTTCCAGGCAAACTGTGACCTTAGAAGACAAATCGATGAACAGCAAAGGATGCTGGAGCGATACAAGGAACGCTTAAATAAGTGTGTGACCATGTCCAAGAAGCTGCTGATTGAAAAAGTAGGTTCATTTTGACTTGTTGTGACTTATTGGAAGGTGCTGCCTGCCAAACTGGGTGGTGTACTGTGTGTGCGTGTGCTAATCCTCTGCTCATCAGTCCAAACAGGAGAAAATGGCATGTCGGGATAAAAGTATGCAGGATCGGCTTCGTCTGGGCCACTTCACCACCGTAAGACACGGAGCATCGTTCACTGAGCAGTGGACGGATGGATACGCCTTCCAAAATCTTATCAAGTGAGTGCCGTCTCACTACCCCATCCATCTCTTTTCTACTTTATGTCCTTGCTTTGGCGTTTAGGTAGCTGCAAACTGGTGTGTCGAGCTGAGATCAAAAGAAATTTCTGTTTGCGATGATTTGTGTGATTCCATTTCATAATTCAGTTTCTTTACCTGAGTGCGTTCCTCAGATTAAATGAAAGCTTCCAGTGGAGGGCTGTGAGAGCCGACAGTGGATCGCTCATACAGAGAATGCAATAAGCCCACTGTTTGTCACTGATTGAATGTTGGTTTTCAGACAACAGGAGAGGATCAACTCTCAGCGAGAGGACATCGAAAGACAGAGGAAGCTTCTGGCCAAACGCAAGCCGCCCTCCATGGCCCAGACTCCGCCGCCAAGCCTGGAGCAAAACAAGCGCAAGAGCAAGACTAATGGAGCAGAAAGTGAAACGTAAATTGCTCTTATTAACTCGTCTTCTCTTTGATATTAGCTTTCTTTTAGTTTTTTACCCCCCCATATATGTATGAGTTTCAAGTTGCATTCGGGTCTTTTCTGATCTTTTGCAGATTATCGCAGGCAGAGTACCACGAGCAGGAGGAGATCTTTAAACTGAGACTAGGACATCTTAAAAAGGTTACAGTGCTATTTGATGTCACCATGTTATTTTGCTTTAGTTTTTTTCTGGAGGATTTGCTGCTAGCTAAACCTCTGACATAATGTTTTTAATATTTGTTCCCTCATAGGAGGAAGCTGAGATCCAAGCAGAGCTGGAGAGATTGGAGCGAGTGCGAAATCTTCACATACGGGAGCTGAAAAGGATCCACAATGAGGATAATTCCCAGTATGATTTCCTTCCATAAATACACATGAAATGCATTAGACATTTTGAGATGGTAACCAAAGTTAACGGTGGCGCTTTCCCACTCTTTCAGGGCACAGAGAATTTTACTCGTTTTGTTTATTTTTAATTGAGCGTATCGTAAGATTGGTGGCGTTGACATTTAAAACAACCAGTTTGAAAGATATTCATGTAATTTACCATTTTAGAATCACAGGAAAAAGAACAAAGAGAGACATCTTTCTTTGAGGTGTAACCCGGTTCAAAGGGGGAGTAGTGTTCTGCTTTTAAGTGCTTCCTCTGACACACTTGAATCTCATGTAATCTCCCCCTTCAGTAGTGGTACTGCAAATTATTCTGACTTGTTCCAAGATGAAAGTGATAGGGGAAATGTTGTTTGGGCTGGCTTGGAAAATTGCTCCTGTAACCCTGGTGACCATTCAGGCATGAGACTGACGCATAAAATGGCTCTCACAGTAACAAACGGCTACGCCTGAGTGGAAGAGACTTATCTGTTTTTTTTGTTTTGTTTTTCTGGTTAAATTATTGTTTTCGTGCATCACTTTGCTCTCGACTGGTGCTGAACTCGCATCCTTTGTCCTTTTGTCCAGATTCAAAGATCACCCTACGCTAAATGACAGATACCTGCTACTCCATTTACTCGGGCGGGGAGGTTTCAGTGAAGTTTACAAGGTGAGTAGAGGGAAACATGAAAAGTGTCAGCAAAGCTCCTGTCTAACAGAGCACCTGTATTTTTCCAGGCCTTCGACTTGACAGAGCAGAGATATGTCGCCGTTAAAATCCATCAGTTAAACAAGAACTGGAGGGATGAGAAAAAAGAAAATTATCACAAGTGAGTCTTTTAAGTAAATGCCACTGTATTTTTACCATGACGGATGCTTTTCTCACCATTTCCTAGATTCCCTTCACATTGATAATTAATAATGGAAATGTTTTTATTACAGACATGCCTGCAGAGAATATAGAATCCATAAAGAGCTGGACCACCCGCGAATAGTTAAACTCTATGACTACTTTTCACTTGACACTGACTCGTAAGTCTTTCCTGTGTGTTCCTATTCCTGTGCAGTTCGTCTTTGGTCAGAGGGTTTTCCTTTGTTTGTTTTAACTAAAGCGTATGTGGTTGGTGCCGTTGGAAAAAGTTCCCCGGTTGTTGAATATCCCCGTGTCTCGGTGCAGGTTCTGTACAGTTCTGGAGTACTGCGAGGGCAACGACCTGGACTTCTACCTGAAGCAGCACAAGCTCATGTCAGAAAAAGAAGGCCGCTCCATCATCATGCAGATAGTCAATGCACTCAAGTACCTCAATGAGATCCGACCGCCAATCATCCACTACGACCTTAAACCCGGTAACGCTTCACATCGTCTTCCTCTTTATTTTTTGTGCACAACACTGGTGATTAACAGGCAGTTTAATGGCTGAACACAAAAGCTTGGGTCCACCATGGTTTATAAGAGCAATCACATTAAGTGAAACTATAGCTGATCTTTTCTGTCCTCATTTCTTCCATCAAGCGTGAACAGAAGTAACTCCACCAAATGATTTATTTATTTATATTTAGCAGAAGAAAGGTGTAGTTTCACACTTCGTTGCTCTTTCCTTTGTCTGCTCAGGTAACATCCTGCTCGTGAACGGCACCGCCTGCGGAGAGATTAAGATCACAGATTTTGGCCTGTCTAAGATCATGGATGACGACAGCTACAACTCGGTGGACGGGATGGAGCTGACCTCACAGGGAGCGGGGACATACTGGTGAGATTTGCCAGAAAATTACTTCCTACCTTTAAGACAAAGTGTGAGGTCACATAGTCCTTGTTACCTCTACTGTGTGGACTGAGACCGAAGATGGAGCCACTTTGACACATCTGTCCTTTTTGAAGTCTTGTCATTTTGAGGTTTGTGTATTTTGTTGACATTAATTTGGATATCTCATATCTTTATTTTTCTGTAGGTACCTACCACCTGAGTGCTTCGTAGTTGGCAAGGAACCGCCTAAAATATCCAACAAGGTGGACGTGTGGTCGGTGGGAGTCATTTTCTACCAGTGTTTGTACGGCCGCAAGGTAGGAGACTCAATTAAAGGAAAAGGCTGCACTAAGACGTTTAAGAAACATTTAGATATGAATAAATAAGTTGGGATTTGTTCACACTTAAACTGTTTTAACTAAAAATGTAACTATCATATTTAACTATTTTCCCTTGTATCTTGTCTTTGGTCAGCCGTTTGGCCACAACCAGTCCCAACAAGACATCCTGCAGGAGAACACCATCCTGAAGGCCACAGAGGTCCAGTTTCCTCCTAAGCCGGTCGTCACACCTGAAGCTAAGGTAGCAGACGCTCGTGCCACCACGACCGACACACACAGGGAGACAAAAGTTTACCTGCACATTGTATACATTGCTGGGAATTTGCTGTGAGCTGGCCGTCGTCTGTTCTGTCCGCAGGCCTTTATAAGGCGCTGTCTAGTCTACCGTAAAGAGGACCGGATCGACGTGCACCAGCTGGCCAGCGACCCCTTCCTAATGCCCCACATCCGCAAGTCGGTGGCTTCCTCGGGGACCTCTGGCATGGCGGTGGCTTCCACATCCAGCTCCTCCAACAGCAGCGCCTCAAACTGAGCCCACACCCCTCAAGGAACTGACTTAATTCGTTTGAAAGGGTGGGACGGGGTGGAGGCGATCGCCTTTTTACTGCCCCCTCCTAACGGCATCCACCTCACCACGAGGAGCTCACAGAGTCTGCTCCGCTGACGGCAAAGGGTGGATGAGAAGTCACGGAAGGGTCGGGAAAGGAGACTGTTGTCCTCCATCCGTCTGATGTCCATCCACCCCAGCCTACCTGCCCTGCTTTCTCATAAGAGTGGCATTGTTCTGGGGGTCAAAGCCCTGGATGACTCGCATAGCAGAGGGACGAGATTTGGCACTGTGTTGACGAAATGCGGGGTTTAGTGTCTTGGATCTTTTTTCTTTTTTTCTGCTTAAAGAGAAAATAAAATTAAGTACAGGTCTGCTTTAGCTTGGCCAGATGGAAAATACAGCAGAAGGCCTACGCTCACACACACACACACACACACACATACTCAAACACACACAGATGCATGAGCCAGTCTGGTCCAAGGTAGTCGGAACCCGCCCGTGCCCAAACATTTGGTTTACGCTCATCTCTCTGAAGTCAGCAGAGATCCAGTCTGAGCTGTCGTTGTGTTGAACCCTAAATTTTTAAGGCACTGTGTCATCCTACTTGCTGTTCTGGAAACTTTGCCCGCTTAAACTCCAGACCTGCATAGTGTCTGAGGAGGTGGGAGAACAGTTACAATCCCGTCTGCGCCCTCCCACTCATGTCCTGTGACCAAAGCTTGTAACTTCCAGCTGGTGGCAGTGTTCCACCTGTTTTTATAATGAATGGTTTTAGAGTTGTGCTACTTGAGATGAAGTGGAAGCTGCAGAGACTTTGCCCCTTTTTTCTTTTTTTTTTTTAAACTTTTTTTTTCTTTTTTTAAACCGAGTTTAAACCAGGTTATGGAAAAAAACTGTTGTTTCAAGTTGCCTTTTAATTAGAATTGTTATTGTTTTGATTTCCCCCTCTTCCCTTTCCATGAACACATATTTATTTAGGTATGTTTGAATTTATTTTTTGGCCAATAAAATGCAAGCGACTGGTTTACTTAATGACGCTGTTGGGGGAGACTGGGCCTTAGCAGAAAGTCGCATAAACCATTAAATACTATTGGTTAAAAGATGTTTCCTGGTCTGCGACTCTGTGTGACTGCTTTCCCATCACTGTTGTCTGTGAATGCATGTTTTCAGTCTCCATGACAGGTAGAAATGTATTTAAGAGCATCAGCTCTGTTAATGTCTGCAACTCTTAATATTTCTCGCTAACTATAAATGGAAAATATCTCCAATGCAGGACTTGCCTTCACAACACATGTAGTCAGAGAAAGGCTCTCGTTTAATATTCAGAAACTCCCTTGATGAGCCAGTGAGTGACCAGTCGTCTGTGGCCAGAGCTGAAATGTCAAACTGGGAACAACACAACACTGGATAAACTTGGTGTCCTGAAAGGTAAGACTAGCAAGCATGTAAATAGTAATGGAGACCATATTGAACAGAGAACCTGGACACCTTATTTCTTTATATATTTCCAGCAAAAGTAGGAATGGATCCAAGTATGATGGAAATGTAGCGTAAAAGGCTAAAACAAATCTCAGTGGTCACATCTGGCCTGAAGACATTAGTCCTCTGACTAGCTTTACAGAAATGCCTCTCCTTGTGGGATCTCCACACAGCCCTTCCTTGGATGTGTCAAAATGATCCACATAGACTTTCTGACACAAAAGTAGGAGGTCTTTGCTGGATTTTGTACCTGTTCCTTAAGAAAAGCACTACCACATCCTGTTCATGGACATTTGGGATCATCTGGGATTTGCCAGATTTGTTTGTTGCTCCAGCTGATTCCTCTTGTTGTGACTTTTCTCTTTGTGTCAAACATAGGCTCCTTTTTTTCCTTTTTTCCAATTTAGTTTGTGTCTGCAGGGCAGAAAACTCTTAAAGAACGTCTGACATTTACTGAAAAAAGAAATAGGTTATATCCCAAAAATGAATAATTACCCTCAGAAAACCTGGAGAACCACAGCTGAACTTCTCTTAAAAGTTCATGAAAACTGATCATCGCCTCCATTTCAGTCTCCTCCTCCATTACACGAGCCATTCGATATCTCTAAATCAGATTATTTTCAGGTTTTGCTCAATCAAAACACAGAAAGTGTGAATTTATTTTGGGGGAAAACTCAGTATGGATAAAAGACGCATAGGAGGAACCAGACAGACGATCAGATCCACAGACTCCGGGTGTCTGAAAACAGGTCTTGGTTTTTCTCTGAGGTGAACTCGACTGACTCATTTCGGGAGCACACACGAACCCCGGCGCGCGGACGCACGGACGCACAGGCGCACAGACGCGCACACACTGGCGCTCCATTCATTTCCAGCCTCATCTGGCCGGGAGGCAGACGGAGCTCTAGCGGTCTGACTCGCCCTCTCTGCTAGGCACCAGCAAAAAAAAAAAAAAACCAGTCGGTCGGCTGCAGCTCCGGCCTCACTTTCCCCTCCGCGCTCTGCTCGTTTGTGCGCCCGTGTGCCTGCCTGCGTGCGTGTGTGTGTGTGGCGAGCATGGAGAGCAACGAGCGACGCCGAAACAAAGAATCGGGAGCAACGTGGACGAGTCGTCAACTTTTACTTTACAGATGCACTTTATATTTATTCATCTTTAGTCTGGAACTGAAGAGGAGCGTTGCGGGTAAGAAAAAAAAAAGACAAAACTCGACAGATTCAGTTCACGGCGATATCCTGAGATCGGACAGATGTTTGTGCGTGTTTGTGCGTTTTTTTGGGTAAAAAGCAGTCCACTCTCAAAGAGCCCCGAAAAAAAAGCTGCAGGTTTTTGTGTTGTTTGTGTGTCGTGGAAAGCTACGACACAAAAGTCCGAGCAGTGAGTGGAACCAGATGTGGAGGCAGGCGAGAGGAGGAGGGAATTCAGAAGGGTAGAGACTCACTTTTTTATTCTGTTCAGGCAAAAAAATTAAATAAAATAACAATTATAAAGAAAATAAAGGCTGTTTTCAGAACACACAGAGAAGCACACATTTTTTTGTCTATTGTTGTTCTTCTCCTCCGGATGGTTTTAAGCCTAAATTGTGAAGCCACACGTTATGGTGGGACGCTTCATTTGGCACCCCGGGGGCAGATGTGACCTTTGCATCCTGTTTCAGACTGCTATTACCACTCTCAGCCGAACCCGTGCAGCTTTCAGCCTGTCATAACACCTAATGACCCACCCAAAAGTTAAATAAAACCAACTTTTTCCATTCTGATCACACGCCTGCCTCCTGAAAACTCTCAGCTTTACCACCAGTTTCTTTTAATGAGAGCAGCTCAGAGACTGAATTCAGATAAAACTGGTTGTCATGTCTTTAAAAATTATTAAAAAGTTTCCTGTGTTTCAAGTTAACTTAAAATATATTTATATACAGTATATAAAAATGCATCATGTCTTTTTTCCTTAAACAAATGTTTGTACTCAGAACAGAATACATGATTTGGTTTATTATTCCTTAGAATTTAGTACAACAATAATCTGGGGCTCTTTTTTTAAGGTCTTTGTTTCATTGTTTGACCTCCCACCAAATTCCATATCACGAAGGACGAAAATCCCTCGTCATCCACTTTATTTAAAAAAAAGATTAGATGCTAAATGAGAATCTCTTGTTTGTTTTTGTGAGATTCTGCCTCTTTGGATTTGCCATGGAAATTGATTTGTAATTCCCTGTCAGCAAAGTGTAACCTTGAAATTCTCTGATCTGAGATTTTTCAACGAGCTGCCCGGAGCTCTCCGGAGCTCTTTGTTGTGCCCTTTATTAATCCGACGTGCTTGTCGAATGCGAAATAAGAAATGACGAACCTCAAAGTTGCTGAGAGATTTAAGGTGGGCGTCCTGCTCACATGCAGCTTCCAGCACTTCAACACTTCATTTGGGCTTGTGTGGACTAGTTCAGACCGAGGTGGTGTGGGAGGCCCGTGAGCTCTCCATCCTGTATCAGTGCGGGGGATTCTGGATGTGTTCACAGGGGGGAAATGGGACGGAGAGGGCATTACCAGGTAGAACACATCGCTTTAAGGGCATGTTTGGAAACCTGTGCTGTGATAAGCTGTCGGCGTGGCTGAGAGCTATTCTACTGCTTTTTCTAAACGTGACACACTTTCCCAGAGGTTCCAGTTTGCTCTCTTGCCGCGTGTGGCTGCAAAATGCAAACACTCTATTTTTTTTTTTGGGCCAAAAGCCCCCCATCCCCCTCTCCCTCTCTCTCTCTCTCCCCCTCTGTGCTTCTCAGATGAGGTCAGATCTATCCACAGTTGGGTTACTTCAGACATCAGACCACCCTAAGCACCAGCCAAACAAACACAGCAGGCTGGAATTTCCTGCCCGTTTGTTTGTCGTCTTTTTGTCACATCGACCAAATAGACGTCTCCTTTGCGTTGTCATTCCCGACGGTTTGGGTTTCGGGGGAAAACTTTGGTTCCTCGGTCTTCACTTCCCAGGTCGGTTCAGAATCTGCAGATCGCATGAAAACGTGTAGGATGCATCAGAGATGCCACAGTTGTGTAAAAACTGAGATGTTTCTGAACTCTTGATCAGAAACTGAAGAATTCAGAGTAATGTCATCCAACCTGGCCCAACCGGTGACCTTAAAAAGACTTCTGGGAATGTCTTCCCCTTTTGGCAAGCGTTGCCAGTCGCTCTTGGCTGCAGGTTTCGGCCCTCTCTTCGGAAGGGAAAACCGTCTTTGACGTTGAATAAAGGGGTGAATGGAGGAAGAAGAAAAAAAAAAGAGGATGAGAGCTCAGCAGGAAAGCTGTTGTGGCAAAGCTTTCACAGGGCTCAATGGCTTAAAGTTAATCTGGAATTCTGCACTCTCTCTGATTACCCGGGAGTTTCCTCACATCAAACATTCAGCCGTGTCCCATCCTGGATGGAATTAAAACGGCGTTTCTGAAGTTGCTTCTTGCTGTGAGAGTCTTAAGCTTCAGTTTGTCTGGAGTTTCTGAGAGCCGCTCTTGTCTTTGTAGGAGACTCGGAACAGTTCAATGCTTATTTCTGATAGTTTTTGGTGTAATGGTCGCTTCACAGTCATTAGGTTCCTGGTTAAAATCCTCGCCAAGGGGGCCTACTTATGTCCTCACAGGGAGCTCCATCTTCCTCGCACCATCCAAAAACAGGCATGTTAGGTTAACTGAGCGTTGGAGGGAGTGTGAAGGCTTTTTTTGTTGCTCCCTGTGTGTGTGGACTGGGTGCAGCCCCCCGTTTGTTCAGTGACAACTGCACACACCTCGTTCCCTGAATCAGTTTAGGAAAGCATAGAAAGTCCACGGAAAGTGTCCTGTCTTCAAAAAGAATACTTGACAATAACAGCAAAACCAGGGTAAAAGCTAAAAAGAAACAGAAACAAAAGGCTGTTCAAAATCTTTTACATTTGTCCTAAAAAACTGAGTCTTAAATGAAGAAAAATAGTCAAATGTGACCATATTTATATAATATAAATAAGACGGGGCATGGCTGCAGATAAATCTATTGTAGAAACTTACAGGTAGAGCGAAATATTGCAAAAAGATCAGTTTTTTGTTGCTTTTTACCATTTAAAGGATCCAACAGTCACAGATTTTCCAAAGCAATGCTTTTTTGTGTAATTTATCTCTGAATTGTGTTACTTTCATCTGAGTAACTTGTGACTGAAGGAAATCTGCTTTTGCTCAGAGGGAGCTGAAGCCTTTTGATAATTTCCCCTGTGTGTGGATTCTGTATAAGTTCAGACTTCTTTTTACTTCCCTTTTAAGACTGAAAGTTTTTTTTTTTGTGTGTGTGCTCCATGGATGAACAGATTTATCTATAAATTGTGCTTATAAATAACCTTTCCATTAATTAAAGATGAGCATTTATTAAAGATTCAGTGAATCCAGAAAAATGTCTTCACACTGGGGAGGAGGCTGAAAACACAATAGTGAGTGTCTGCGGCTGAGGCAGCTACTCTAAAAACAGATGTGATGTGTGCACGAGCACAGAAACCCCGTGGGTGAGCACGGATCATCAGTGCGCCCGCAAATGGTCCAGCACCCACTAAACACAAACAGCACAGATAAAAAAAAAACAGGAACAAACAAGAGACAGAAAGGCCGGTGACTTCTTTATTCCCATTATTGTTCAAAGCGGCATTTTGCCTGCTCTTATCCGGAGCAGAAAACAGCCAAAATTGTTGAAATCGGGATCATTAGTCGGGGCATTAGACACTTTAGTTTTATTTTCCAAAATTGAAATGCTCTGACTGCTAAAAAACAAGGAAAGAAACAAAGTATAGAACGTCTATACATCCAATTTCACAGAGTCTATGTAGAATGTTTGATGTATTTAGTGTTATTTGCAGTCACACAAAGTCTCTTGTTCTTTTTTTTTCTCTTTCCTTTTTGCTGTGCTATTATTACCGCACGTTCAAATTGGTGCTTTAAGCTCAGACTTTTCTGCCTGTGAGAAACTAAACCACAAAGTGCACGGAGAGGGGCGTGCCGCTCCTCTCCTCCTGCAGATTACAGGGATTTTTATGGCGCTCTTGATGAGACTCCATTGTCTCTGTGTTCGTAAAAGCGGAGCAGGAGGTTTGAAGTCTTTCAGCCGAGAGGAAGAAAATAAGCGTTTGAGCAGAGCGACCTGCAGACATGTCAGAGCCCTGTTTTTCAATAAATGTCCCAACAAGATCTTTCCCAACCATCCAACTTCCGGCCCTTTAACCTGAGCCTGCTGTGTAGGAATGCTGAGGGTCTTTGTTTCTCCCCGCAATTTCAAGTCAGAGAAGGGAGGGTTCTGTTTTTTTATTTTTCTGGAAATTTTATTTTAAACTTTCTTAATTTAGAGAAAAACTTCAAAAAATCCCTCCTGGTAGGTCTTTTTCCTTTTGCTACTCTCGTGAACTTAACAATTTTGGCTTTTTGGTCTCTAGTTTGTAAATTTTCCAATGAAAAAAAAAATCTTAAAAAAGAGAAAGCAAAAAACCGAAGTGGAAGAAAACCGCGTTTTAGACCAAAGGGGGTGTTGCTTTCTTATTCCCGAAATTCCAGTCACTGCAGCTGGCGTCTTGCCCCGGTAGATGTGATAAGTGCAACGTTTCTTTCATTTTTTTTTCTGCTTTAACAACATTTTTCCTCAGGATTTTGCAAACGTGTGTGGGCACAAATGATCCACAGGAATCCAGAGTTCCTCTTAGAATGGGAATAAGATGTAGTGTTAGCACAAAACTCAGCATGAGGCAGTGACAGTTCTGCAAACTGATAACACAAACACATCTCCCCACTGAGAGCCGTCAGCCTTTTGCCAAGGTAATCAAATACGGACCTGTTAGAATAATCACTTACATGAGGAAAACATTTCAGGCCCCCTTCAGATTCCAAAGATGAAAAAACAGCGATCAGATCTAAAAAAAAAAAGGCACAAAATTATTGTCGCCTGCTTCTTAAAGTCAAACCAAGCAGAATTTTGAAGTTAAGAGGCGTGTTATGGACATCTGAGAACAACATGAGTCAGGAGAGTATCCAAGCCAAAGTGTCTTTATGTTTTTTTGTTCAAAGGCGCCCACAAATTCCCCAAAACAGCCTAACCAGAGCTTTGCCCTTCTTATAAAAGCTAATACAAGAACTGACTTAGCTATTCCTGTCTCTCATCTGAAAGTACAAGGTAGTAGCAATTATTTGCTCTGGAAGGTGGCTCCGCATTGAACTCTTGGAGCAGGGGCTGGGGGTTGTGGGTTGGGGGGATCTTAAGGCCTCAGGGGGTTAAATGGGATCTCTAACCTTGGCTTTAACAGGTCCAGCCACTTTTGGCTTCACTTCTTTTTGCTTTTTCTTGCCTGCAATTTCCATAGTGACGTCTCCAAAGGAGCCGTGTGCCATTTTCCCTACGCACAGGATTTTGGGATTATACTGAAATCACCAAACACTTCATATGTTTTAGCATGCTACATTTTTTCATCTGATGCTAAGGCTTCGTGGTTTTGACTCAAACTTATTGACAATTATTCATTCTTTTGCACTCTTTTGCACATTATTATTTATCACTATGTTTTTTTCTCTTTATATGAATATAATTCTTGTATGGCATGTTGTATATACATATATATATATATATGTTGTTTTTGTATGTCTGGGGTGTGTAACGAAAAATAATTTCCCTCTGGGATTATTAAAGTATTTCTGATTCTGATTCTGAAGGCTGTTCCCCTTTCAGATGCCTCATTGACCCATTCTGCTGTGTTCCCCATCTCTGCTCAGAGCCACTGGAGTCGGACGATTTCGCTTTCTTCCTGGAGGGCGGCGGCCAGTGCCTGGGGGTGAGGGATGGCTCGGTGGTGCTGGGGGCAGCGTGTGGGGAGCCCCAGCAGCGCTGGAAGTGGGTGACCAGGGGGCGCCTCTTCAATCTGGGCTCCTCGCTGTGCCTGGGCGTGACCACCGGCAACATCACCGAAAAGACGTCCTCCCTGGGGGCGTACACGTGCGACCGAGAGCCCCCCAGGGTGCGCTGGACCTGGAACTGTGGTCAGGTGCTGGATATCCTCAACGGTGACCTCAAGTCCAACTTACCCTGGAACTTGCCCATCAACTCATCCGTCACACTCAAATGGAGACTTCACGGGGACGTCCAAGACCTGTGTTCCAGAACCTACCGAGGTAAGAATGACTGCGCTGTGATTGTGACCGGAAATGTTCTTTAGATTTGAGATCAGCTCCTGTATGTGTCATGAAATCGAATTATTTCACAGAGACACAATAGCAGGGTCCGTTAAACTCAGATCAGAATCTAAATCTTCTGATTTTTTGTTTGATCTCAGAGGAAGAATTCAGTATGGACCTTCTCTGTTTGATTTCTCTCTTTAAATGCTGAGTTTTCAGGGTTTTAGTTTCATTTTACTAGACATTTTTTAAATTAATATTGTGGATATGACATTTCTTCTGAAATGTTTAGCATTTTTTAAGTTAAAAGCTATGATGTATAATTGCTATTTGTTTGTATTTTTGATTTAAAAAATGCAGAGCAGATTCCAGTTCTTCAGTGGAACAGAAACCAATCAAATTTTTGTTTGAAATTGTAATGACTTTCATTTAAATTGCACAATACAGCGTTGGCATGGGGGGACATTCCTCTCCCTGAGCCTCTGAGGTCTCTGCTGTTTTTGTCATTTCTAGTTTCCTTTTTAATCCTGAGTCATTATCTGCAGTAGGCAATAATTTTTTTCTTTTGTTGACTTTTTTTGTTTTGTTCTGTTGTGGTTCGTCCCGTGTTGATGTGCGTTGCGTCTCATGGCCACAAATTCTGATTGGATCTGCTTGTGGTTCTTTCCAAAATCATTATTAAGGAAATGTCAAATTGCTCCTTTGAAAATTGTGATAAATCTTTAGAGTATGATAGAGTTTTTCTACAGTAGCTCAGAAGGGACAAGCCGTGGGAGAGCGGCTCGCCTTCTCCTCAGTCAACCTCGCTTTTTTTCTCCAGAGGAAGATGGAGAGTGGAAATCAGATTGTTTTGGTCCACTTCATCATTCGCGTCAGCCCTTCAAGCTAATAAGACACAAAAAACTCAGACTTTTCCCCGTGGACTTTCAAAGTTCTGCTGGAAAGTACAAACCCCTTTGAAGTCCTTCAGGTGAACCCTCCAAATAATGAACTGGTTGAGCCTCCTTTGGCTGGAGTAAGCTGAAAAACCCCTTCCAGTAGCTGTGGATCAAACGCACGCATGAGAACGTCTCCTCACGGTTTCGGCCTCGTCCGCGAAAGGGGAGGGTTGCTGGTTTGACCCCCGCCTCATCTGCTCCTTTGTTAAAAAGTCGGCAGATGTGTCGAGCGTTTTCCCCCGAAACACGTGTGGTCGTGCGGTGACCCGGGGAGCTGCCTCTGTGCGTCTGTGTGGCAAAACAGACTGCCTGCCCTGGGCCTGCCAGCTGTATCTGATCAAATGGATAAAGGAGAAGGCTTTGCTCCTGGGGGATGTTTGAGGACATGTGGTGGCCTGCCAGTCGGAGCGCCAAGCAAAGCACCGCTGCTGTTTGTAAACAGACAGAGTTGTCCCCTGCCCACAAGTATATTTTGTTTTCATATATAGTTTTCATTTTAGATTAAATCTGGCCACCGCAATTCACAGCTAAGCCTCATTTCCGTTGTCGGAGGCAATCTTGAGAATATCGAATGTCACGGTTGCTCTCCAAAAAAACGGCTGCGGGGCTTAGCCAGCTAAAGTCAGCTGTTAAATTAGGCTGAGAGTCTCAGCTCGATGGCAATTAAAACTAGATCCGCTGTAAACGTAAAGACCAGAAAATCTCCCTCTGCTTTACGTTTGCTTTCATGTGGCCAGGGGAACCGGGCGCGCTGATTTTTTTTTTTTAACTTTCAACCACCAGTCTTCACAAGTTTCTTTCCGAGGACGACTAGCGAGGAATGCCTTTGACATTAGTCAGCTCCACACGCAGCCAGTCAGCGGCGGAGCAGAGTCAGAGAGGCAGCTTCAGAAATCTTTCCTCCCTCTTTAATGTGTCTGCCCTACTTTCCATTGGCCCGGCTTGTTTTTGGTAACGCTGCTGATCCGGCCTCTTGTTCGATTGCTTCATCTTTTCTGCCCTTTCTTTTTACTCTGCACTATGCTTATGAAAGGCAGACGCTATAAATATAACCATATGGTGTTTTGTATGAAACGTCTCTGTTCTGTTGACCATTTCACCCCCCTCTCCCCCCGATTTCCTGCTTCTGACCGCTGCTTGACTTGACTGTTTTGACTGTAATATCATCCCCTGTTTTTAGCCGTGCGTATGGTCGCACAGGCTTCTGAGAAAACACTAAAGGCATTTCAGTTCAGCAGGGTTCGCGCCCATAACTCCAGGCAACACGAGCAAGGCATTAAAAAGCCTCTCCGGTGATTGCTCCCCAGAGATCTACACCATCCAGGGGAACTCGCACGGCCGGCCCTGTTACCTGCCCTTCCTGTACGACGGCCAGTGGTTTCACGACTGCACCAGCATCGGGCGTGAAGACGGCCACCTCTGGTGCGCCACCACGCACGACTACGGCAAAGACGAGCGTTGGGGATTCTGTCCCGTCAAGAGTAAGCCTCCACGCTCACCATTGATGTCCTCCCCTCGACGGAGAGGAGGACACGGATCTGAGCGAGTTCCTCTCTCGGCCCCAGCCGACCTGACCGGCCTTTTTCTTTGGTTCTCACAGGCAAAGGCTGCGAGACGTTCTGGGATACTGACCCGGTGACAGACAGCTGTTACCAGTTTAATTACCAGTCCACGCTGTCCTGGAGCGAAGCCCGGATCAGCTGCCAGCAGCAGGGAGCCGACCTGCTGAGCATCACCAAGCTGCACGAGCAGACCTACATAAACGGTCAGCTCCCAGGCTGCACTTTATACAGTGTTGTGTCTATTAGTTGAAAATGCCTCAATGAATACATGGCTTTGTGCTGTAAAGCTAAATGTAAGAACATCTCAGTAAATAAACACAAAGCCATCGATTAAATGATGGTTGTTTTTGGCTGATGTATTCCTGCATTTGATCTTCTTTTACACAAACACTTGTTTCTAATGTATTCCATGTCTTTTGAAGGATGAAAAAAATGTTTTCCTGCGTTTTAGGCTTGCTTAGTGGCTACAGTGCTGCTCTGTGGATTGGCCTCAATGACCTCGACATCAGCGGGGGCTGGCAGTGGTCCGACTCCTCGCCACTCAAATATCTAAACTGGGAGCCAGGTTAGCCTGTGAAAACAATTCCTGCTTCCCCGTCTCTCTGAAGCGTCCGTGATCTCTTTTTTTTTTTCTTCAAACGCTCGTAACCCACAGAGGGCTGAGCGAGCACGCACTCTCAGCTTTAGTGCTGCTCGGGCCTCAGTTATAACAGCCGCTTGGCAGCTTTCCAGGCCGGCCGCACCATTTTTCTGCTGCCCCACCGAGCGCACGGGAATTGGCCACACTAGCAGTTCTCTGAAGAGTTACTCCTTTTGTCTCTATTTCAGACCACCCGAATCACGCCGAGGAGGAGAACTGTGTCGTGATCCGAACCGAGTCATCGGGACGTTGGCAGAACCGTGACTGCTCTATCGCTCTGCCATATGTGTGTAAGAAGAGGCCCAATGCCACTCTGGATCCCTTCACCACAGGTGCCTGCACACGCAGTGACTCCGGCCTATCTGTAACCCCACCACTCCAAAGTCTCTTAATCAAGGTGTCAATCCGCGTGCTTCCGCAGATTCGTGGGCCGACGACCAAAAATACGAGTGTGACGTAGGCTGGCAGGCTTTCCAGGCCGGATGCTACAAGCTCACTTCAGAGAAGACCGAGTGGAATTCAGCTCAGAGAATATGCCAGAGGATTGACGCCAACCTGGTCAGCATCCATACTCTACCTGAGCTGGAGTTCATCTTGCACAACCTGAAGAAAGGTGATTTAGCCTCTCCCTTTCCTGTATGGATTTCTCTCTGTGCCGAATTGTTCTATGGACATTTTACAGATGCACTCCAAACAGAGATAATAAACAAAAAAATATAAAAACCTTGATTTGATCTGATCATCTGTTTCTCTTGCAGACATTGACCAGTTATGGATAGGGCTCCACGATACTGATATGCAAATGGACTTCCAGTGGACTGACCACACACCCGTCATCTTCACGTACTGGCATCCGTTTGAACCCAATAACTTCCGCAATACCCAGGAGGATTGTGTCTCCATGTGGGGCGCTGTGAGTCACTCCCTACTGGCTCTCAGGCCGAACCCTGAAAGACAGGCCTTAATCAGCCAGAAAAACAGACGCTTCTTGTCTGTCGCTTTCCTCCGTTTGAATACATATAAATATATCAATGTTGACCATCTGTTCTCTGTCTTTCTGTTTGGGTCTTGTCATTAAATACAGGACGGCCGCTGGGATGACAGCCCCTGTAATCTGACTCTGCCCTCCATCTGTAAGAAACCAGGAACAAAGAGGGATGGAAAGCCAGAACACCAAGAATGCAAACAAGTATTATACATTTTTATACATTTGCATTTAGTTCTTTGTGCTGTAAACACATTTTCTGCTACTTCATTCTTTTCAATATTAATCTTTTCTCCATTATTTACTATACCCTAGTCTCATGCAACTTCCGGCTCCTTATGGCCTGAAATGTTGCATAGAGCACAATTTATTACTCTAATAACTTCAGACATTCCTTCTCTCTTGACCTCTTTTCCCTGAGGTCTTAGCTGACATCTCTTTCAGGCGCACTTGACAAAATTCCCCCTAGAGACATGTGCCATTCTCTTTGCTCAAATAGTAGTTTTAAAAAAAAGAAGAAAAAACATATACAAGTAAGGGCAAGTTTGTGTCTCCATGGCACTTGCATGTGATCCAACCAACAAGACTCATGAGCATCTGTCTGTGATTATCCAGTTCATAATTCTCTTCACATGAAAGCTGAGGCTTCTCATACCTGAATGTGTCTGCAAAGGTTCACTCTCCATGCTGGCTCTTGATCTAACCACAGTGAGCATATATCTGTGATATGTGTTAGAAACTATCTATAATTGAGTGTCATGCTGGCTCCCAGCTGGTACCATGAACAAATGTGTCAGGGACTGTTCGTTTTAGGCGTGATGAATCTTTATACCCGCTCCTGGAGAGCAAGGCACCCTGGATGCTAATGCCATGGGGGCCATTCTGCATAGCGCATGCTGCTCAGCCATGTTGTGGTGTGACATAAACAGACGAGTTCTCTTCAATCAACATGCGAACTGACAAGAAAGTTTGAGCCAACTGACTGATTCAGTAACATAACACCACCTGATCCGAACCCATTTACACTGACACTGGGCTAATGATTTATATGCTCTATCTGTAAATGATCAGAGAGACAATAAAACGCTCACCTGGCGCACTGTGAGACAGCTGCTCTGGACCCATACGTCAACCAGGACACCCTGGACTAAATTCAAATCTTGACACAAATCCAGTGATTCTTGCTTTTTTTTTTTTTTACTGCATGGCGGCAGAATAAGAGGCTACAGGCACTAGATGGCAACGTCCTCTATGCTGACCTGTCAAGGCAACAGAGAATATGTGAGAAAACGTGTTTTTTTAGAGAATTGGGACTAGATAATGCTTCCGAGCTTGGCCATCTTTTAAGCCATTTTCAAAGGAACAGCAGTGTTTTTATTATTCACTCAAAGTTACAGAGTCTGATCCACATGTTTTCTTAATTTAGAGTTTAAACAAACAGCATAATCAGAAATAATATTCAATATCTTAGCTTAATGAGTAATGAAATGACTTTTGATCATTTCAGTTTAGTGTGGTATCGCATATGTTGAATGGCTAAGGTTCTCAGCCTGCTTAGTTTTATGGAGCTTTATAGCAACATTCAACACATGATGTAGCTCTTTGGCCATAACCTCAGTGGTTTAGTGTCCCTCTCTCTGCTTTCACTGCCCACACAACCCACTGGACACTGCTCAGCCCAAAATGAGAGACATGGCCTGCTGCTGAACGTGGGGAAGCACATTTAAGAGACTTTAACATCCTCATTATGACTTTGTAGCCTTATTTATGTGCATTCCATGAGCTTCTTTGTGACCAAAGCCTCCAACAAGCTCACCTTTGCCACTAAATTAAAAACAGTCACCCTTTCAAAATATTTTAACAGCTGATTATTTTTATCGTAATTTAACACAATACTACAATACACAATATACTATACAAAAAAAACAGATTTAGCCAGTCTGGATCAGAATATCCCACAAGAAGCATTTGGCAGATATAATTTTTTAAAAACGTTTTTTCTGCTGAACGCCATTCTCAAGCTTTAACATTTGAAGTTTTAGCACATTGATGCAAAGAAGCCTGAGGTGTGCTTTATGTGCTCTAATCTGTATACGACTTGCCTCTCACCGTCATTCTCATGGAAAATCTCACCCTGTTTTGCCTGTTGGTGGAGATCTGCACGTGTCTATAACTCCTGTTCATGAGCCAGGAAGCAAAGTGGGCAGGAAAATGCGTCTCAGTATGCCCAGACATGTTATGTATATTCAGATAAGTTTCTATTTGAGGTCTTGGTCGTATCCCGCCTGGCAGATTATGCCCACAAAGTTTAGTGTTTCCTGTGTGTCTGATTTAAAAAAACAAAAAAAACATGTCATGAGTAAACTTAAATTCATATTTGAAGCATTTTATTTTAAAAAGAACATGAATTATTGTCTGAATACATAAAGTAATACTACAACAAACGCCCACATCTGTTTTCAGTTGTTCCACTGCTCTATGTTTATCCTCTTTTTAGGGCTGGAAGTGGCACAGTCCAGCTTGTTACTGGGTTGGTGAGGATCTGCTCACATTTGAAGAGGCCAAAAAATCCTGTGAGGAGCATGGAGCTGCCCTTGTTACTATTACGAATAGGTATGCACACAACCAGTTGTTAGAAAGACATTCTGGCACGCAGGTATTAGTATGGTCTCAGTAAAAGCCTGTTTCCTCTGTAAAGGTTCGAGCAGGCATTCGCCAACAGCCTTGTGTTTGGCCGCTCTGGAGATTCTTTTTGGATCGGGCTCCATGACCAGGGCAGTCATGGGTCTTTCCACTGGCTCAGTGGGGACGAAGTGTCCTACACCAACTGGAATCGAGACCAACCGGGTAGGTCACACTGAATTTTTAAACCGCTTTTAGGATCAAAGTTCCTGGTCAAAAAGGAATAAAAAATTTGAGTATTTCCATCATTATGAACTTAAACTTTGATCACTTTTTTCTATTCTCAGACTCATCAAAGATGGTGTTAGTAAGCTTTTGATGCATTTAAAAAAAACATATATGTAGCAATGCATTATTATCATAACGCTGAATATTTACAGTAATATTTAGTAGAAAATGCTGGCATGAAATGTCTCACAGAATTTTGCAATTACGTGCAAACCCTCACTTCCTTTATTAATTGTATTATAGCCATTTAGGTAAGTTTTGACTGTTGCTGCATCCATATGATGGGATGATACTAATAACAGAAAAAAGATAACTCCATTTCATAAGAATGTTATCTTTTTATTTCCTTGTTTGTCTTAAACAAACTAAATTAAGCCTGTAAACATTTGGACATGCCTTGTTTATAGTAATTTAATGATAGACCTATCTAGTTTACATAAAAACAAACTATTTGTTTGTTAGCTTGTGAGTTTCCACAGTAATGATCTGTTGTTTACTGTGACATAATGCTTTAATTTCAGTATCGCTTAATTAAGGCAGTTGTCTGCTTGATTGTACTATTTCATCATCTTTTTTCCGGCTCTAACTTATTAGTCTGCATTTGTGTTGTAATTAAATTCTAAGAAGTTTTTTCCACCCTCTGCCTGTTTATTTCCCTGTTCCTTTGGCTGTAATGGGATCATTTTCTATGGAGGATTATTATGGTTTAATCTAATCTATAAACTAATCAATTGCCTACAACAGGTTTATTTTGAATGAGGGCCATTTTCGGATTTAATCGGCAACGAAAGAAATGGATTGGTCTCAGGCCTCTTTTCTCTTGTGAATATCTACATTTAAACCAGAATGCTGATATCTTTGAACCCTAAAGAGCCTTTGGTTATCAGATAAATCAATCTTGGGACGCAGTAGAAATAAAGCCTCCGGTATTTTTGATTAAAGGCAGGATAATTCTGCTTTCATTAAACTTGGAATCACATTATCCATAATCTCTAAACATGAATCCAGAGAAAAAACAAATTATCAAATTGTCCCCGCTTGACCCACAGATATACATACAGAAGGTGAACAGAGACATTTTAGATTAGAATGTCTTATATATATTACAATATGAAAAGTCATCAATTACTGATATAACGGGATCCACATGGACAATCACAAAAGCACAGGTTAAGCAGAGCTCACTGGATGAGAACAGTTAAATGTCAGATCCAGCACTCATAATTAAATCATAAAAAAGTGTGTATTCACATTTCCCACTTTTTTCATGATTCCTCTGTCTCACGCGTTCTATTTCAGCCAACGTCCGTGGCGGCTGCGTTGCCATGGCAACCGGCTTTGCAACAGGTCTGTGGGAGGTGAGGGAGTGTGCCTCCGTGAAGGCGAAATTCATCTGCCGCCAGAACCAGGACACCTCCCTGAGCCCCGAGCTGCCCCTCCCTCTGCCCACCCCGAGCCTCAGCGGCTCCTGCCCCAGCGGCTGGAAGAGCAACAGCAACCTGCGCTACTGCTACAAGGTTCAACCCCCCCCCCCCCCAAAATGACCAAACGAGCACGAATGCGAGGCCGTGGCGGGACTGGATTCACACCTTTCCCGTCCTCCCCTCAGGTGTTCCACTCCTCCCAGCTGGAGCAGAAGCAGAGCTGGGTGCTGGCTCACCTGTTCTGTCGGAAACACGGCGCCAACCTGTTGAGCATCAGCAGCGCCGAGGAGGAGCAGTTCGTTCTGCAGGTCCTCCATGAGAAATTTGGGTGGGTATGATGGTGATCATGAACCGGATGGTCAGTTTGAGATGGTTTGGTGTAAGCATCAAACGTGACCTGGATGTAGATGTTGATGATGATTCTACTTGCAGGGAGTCGGAGGAACATGAACAGCACTGGTTCTGGATCGGACTGAACAGAAGGAACCCCATGGACAACGGCAGCTGGAAGTGGAGCGATGGACTGGCAGTGCGTAGAAGCGCCATGCTAAAGCTCTCTCCTTTCAAACGGAAGTCCACAAAAGCTGATCGGCTCATTCTCTGCTTTGCTATCAGGTAACGTACCAGAACTTTGGGCGCTACTACTACAACATTCGGCAGTGTGCTGCAGCAGATTTGGGAACCATGACATGGCTGGCCATGCACTGTGAGGCAGAGTTAGACTGGATCTGCAAGATTCCCAGAGGTACTACCGCATTTCACCGGAACATTTTTTAAAGAAAGATTCTGAATACTGTACATTATTACAACACCTTTGTCTGAAACGCTGCTGATTAACTCCTGTGTCTTTAAAACCTCCCTCGTTTATACATTTACTCATGTCATTTTAGGAAGTGTCGAGAGTGTGCCAGAAGTCACTGAGGGTCAGTCTTTCTCTCCATCTTTCATTGATTTGTGCCTCATATTTTCAAAATGATCTGCCGATCGTCCGGTCACATGTAGCTGTTTCCTTTTTTGTTATCTCTCAGGTTCTAGTTCACCAGAATGGATCATCTTCCAGGAGGCTGAGTACAGATTTTTTGACCACCGCACCACCTGGGACCAGGCCCAGAGAATCTGCTCCTGGTTTGATTCCTCGCTGGCCTCTGTACACTCAGCTGAGGAACAAGCTTTTCTGGCCAACACTTTGCGCAAGGTGCACTCATTTATTTTTCCAAACCTTCATCATCATAATTAAAAGATCGTCAAATCGAGCTCTTAAGTATTATTATTATTTATTAACACACAAGCTTACTGCCAAAGTGCACTTCAGCTTACGGTCATTGATCCATCTTCTATACCTGCTCAATACAGTTTAGAGTCCCTGTGAAGGCACTGAATGTGTTTTTATGACAAAAAATATCAGAAGTTGTACGTTTTTTTTCCCATTAATGTAACAAAATAAAATCATGATTTGGGTGAAGGTTAGGGTTGAGCTACATGTAATGAAACACTAGAGTTAAAGCCCTGAACTGAGTAACTCTGACACATCCCCCCCCCCCCCCTTAGATGGTAAAGGTGGAGGGCGACAGCTGGTGGCTCGGGCTTCACTCCTATGAAAACGATGGGCGTCTCCGCTGGTCCGACCACTCCGTGCTCAATTATGTTTCGTGGGCCCTGGGCAGGCCGCACCCGGTCAGCCGCGACCGCAAATGTGTCCACATGTCTGCCAGCAAAGGTGAGCGGAGCCGGAAACGGTTCTCCCCCGAAACCAAAACCAAGTCCAAATACGCTTCCTGCTCATACCATCGGGTGCTTCTCATTGGCACAGCGGACTGGGCCGACCAGAAGTGTCACTCGGACCTGCCCTACATTTGTAAGAGGGTGAACGTCACGGGGACCATTCCTCCAACGCCACCATCTCCCCACCCGCCATCCGGCTGTCCTGATGGCTGGTCTGCTTATCAGCACAAGGTACGTCTGTAAAAAAAAAGTTAATTAAACCCAGTTCTGCGCCGGTCGCATTCCCTGATCCATCTAGAATTCACCTCTCTGTTTGTAGTGCCTCAGAGTATTTGATCAGTCTCCGCGTGTCACGTGGTCTGCGGCCAAGTTGAAATGTGAGACGCAGGGAGGCTCGCTGGCAGTGGTGTCCAACCATTTGGAGCAAGGTAATGAAAGCAGACCGCAGCCATCACAAAGTCAGAACTTTGAAAGTGAAGGAATTTTTTCCCCCCCGGCCGTTAGTTAACTGATTCTCCCGGCACAGCCTTTGTCACCACCTTACTAAGGAACGCCAGCGCTGACCTCTGGGTGGGCCTGACATCAGACTCTAAGGGTCACTTCCAGTGGGCCAAAGCTGGTTTGCTCAGTTACACCAACTGGGCACCCGGTGAGCCCATCGACAACAGCGGACCCCACCACAACAAGACACCGGTACCCCCGACTCACCTGTCCAGTTACGCCTTTGTCCTCAGTCTGCTTCTGTTCCTCTGATGTCTTCTCTCTGTCTCCTCAGGGAAACTGTGTGGTGATGATTCACGGCAACCCGGAGAAAAAGACCGGCATGTGGGCCTCCAGAGCCTGTGAGATGGAAAGTAACGGATTCATCTGTCAGAAGCAACAAGGTGAGATATTCAGTCATAACTGTCATTTAAAAAGTGAAGATCAGGTTGCAAACAGAGGCGTGGAAGTAAATCATCATAATCTGACTTAAGATAAAGGCCTGCCTCCGGCTGCGGCCCTCATTCCTGCCTCCCTGTCAAAGCCTGTGGAGCTGGGCGGAGTGACCTACCGGGTGGTCAAGAAGCGCCTTGACTGGACGGGCGCCCTGCACCTCTGTGAGTCTTTGAATGGAACCCTAGCCACAGTGAGGAGTCCCTACGAGCAGGCCTACCTCACGCTGCTTATCAACAGCCTGCACCAGCCAGCCTGGATTGCTCTCTACAACTATGGAGTGAGCCCCTAAATTTAAACTAATAAACTCATATATTTATGGACGTTTCACTGGGAGAGACAGTGATGCAAATCAACGAAAATGCTGAGAACTTCAACATTATTTTTTCTTTATTGTCTTCAGGGACGAAGCTTCACCTGGCTGGGTGATGAGGAAGTGACATACTCAAACTGGAAGGATGGGGAACCCAATCAGATGGCTGGCTGTGGCCACATGACCACCACAGGGCAGTGGACCATGACTCCCTGTGATGTGAAATTGGACGCTGCCATCTGCCAGATCAGTGGTACTTGTGTAATAAGACAAGCAAATGTGATGAAGTGCTCTACTGATATATAAATTCATCCCAGTTGCTTTCGGTTTTTTTTCTCCCTCTCTGTGCAGATGAGCCTGTGAGTCACCAGTGGATCTACCCCGGACAATGCCCCCACTCTCTGGGAGAGTGGGCATGGGTGCCCTTCCGAAACCACTGTTACGCCTTCAACCTACAGACTCTCAGGCTTCAGCAGGATGCGCACACATCGTGCAAAAAAAGTATGAAAGCGTTCCAGAGGCCTCTGCCCACACAGCACACCAAACTGACTTGAAAAGCCGATAACATGCATCACTCCCGACCTTCAAACCAAATTGACAACACACATCAATACATCTAAATTTAGAAGTGTTTCACTGAGCACGGGGCACCATCATTCACTTTCCCCCCTCATGATCAATTCTGTTTTGCTCCATCTGTGTTTGTTTTTTCTCCTTTTTTTCCCCCCACCTCTCTTCTAGTGGGAGCAGAGCTTCTGTCCATCCTGGATGAGACGGAAAACGGCTTTATATGGGAGCACATCCAGGGCTATGCGGAGCAGGCACATGGAGCTTGGCTGGGCATCAGTGTGAAAGGTCCGGCCGCACTACTTCAGACAGCCCCCCCCACCTTTTCTCTCAGCCACAAGCCGCTCATTAACCTTCAGATCTTTTTCAAAATCTACGTTTATCAAATTGTCTACAGAAGACAAATCAATGCCGATCCTTATTAATGTCTTAAGCTGAGGAAACATGATTAAGGCAGTTTCTCTAAAGTCAAATAAAGTGATAAAGCAAGGTGATTCATTTCAGAAAAAGTTTAAAAAATATATCTATAAACTGCAGTATCATCTGCCAGAACTGTTAAATGATTTGTATGACGTGCTTTGAAAAATGCTTTGCAAAGCTGATGAGAAAATGAAATCCAGTAAATATCCACAACTGAGGCAAAAAAAACCCCCGATGTGACAGGTTAAGTGTTTTAAGCCTGTTCTGAGTGTTTTCGTGCCTTTGTACCTGCTTCAGGGAGAGGCCTTGTTTGGAGCGAGGACTCCGAGATGTCGTTCACCAACTGGGAGAGGCACGACGTTGCTTTCTCGGTGCTGTCGATCAACTCCTGCTTCTGGATCCAGAGCAACAGCGGCCTGTGGAAGCCGGGCTCCTGCAGAAACCGCACCCACGGAGTCATCTGCAAGCAGCCTCGCAGTGAGAAACGCACAGGAGCACTGGCACGCCGTCGCTTTGAACCAAAGAGTTTCAGTGTCAGAAACAGCTCAGACAAAACTGAGTTTGTAATTCTGGAGGAGAGCGTTTTTTCTTGTTTGTTTTTTGTTTAGGAAACTACTGCAGGAGTACAGATTGCTAAAAATAAACTGTATGTACAGTGGAAAGAAATTGATATTATCTTTGGTAGTTAATAGATTCCTACATTAGATTTTTCTTCAGCCTCTGAGTAGAATAAAGGGGATCAGTGAGCACGCTAACTGTTGTTTGCTTGATTTTCAGGTGCTGAAACATCACCTGTGACAAGTAAGTTTGCTTCTCTGTTCGACGTTTTCCTGTCCGTTTGCGTTGTTTTCCATGCGGTGAACTTTGCGTGCTAATCCAGATTCTTCATCTCCACCCAGTGGATGCCGACAGCCTGCCCAATCTGATCGTCATCATGGTGACGGGCCTGGTTCTGGTGGCTCTGATCGTCACGGTGATCTTCCTGTACCGCCGGCGGGCTGTGGGCTCGCGGGGCTCCTACGAGGGAGCCCGCTACAGCCGCACCAACTCCAGCCTCGCCGAGCAGGCGGAGAAGAACATCTTGGTCTCTGACATGGAGCTGAACGAGCAGTCGGAGTAGCTCCCACCCCACTGGACCGACCAACTGACCGACCGACCCGGGACCGGACTCCACCTCGGACAGGAGAGGCTGACACACTTTGTGGCGTAGTGCTTTTTTTTTTTCTGCGGCCGTTGAAACCAAATTTTTGTATTTTTTTTATTTCTCAAAAGCTGTGTAGAGCACAGCAGATGATTTTAAATTTAGTCTCAACTTCAAAATCCAATTCCCAACACTGGGTAATCAGATACTTCCATCAGCTGTCCCTAAAAGAATCAATGGAAGCCGCAATAGATCTGTGGAAACATTTTTATCAGAGCAGAAATGTTCAGGATCAAACCAGCTTTGTTAGGTAATTCATTGCGGCCGTACCTGGTGCCAAAGTCTATTTTTTGCACACTGTATATTTTCAGTTCTGTTTCGATTGAAAGATCGACATCCCTTCTTTTCATCCTCTAACATTCCTCTCCGGGACCAAATACCATCTTCCTATCTTTCCGTCTTTTTTTTTGTTGCCACATCAGTATTAACCTTAACTTGAACTTGTGTTGTTTTTTTTTGTTTCGTTGATTTGTGGTTTTCTGCGCAGCTGTAGAGAAGTGTTTCTCGTGATGCATGTGTGGTTTTTGTGAGCCTGCCTCTCTCCTCTGTTCTGCTCTGACACGTCAGCACCAGCTGTCAGGCCAGCAAAAAGAGGAAGAAGTCCAAATGTGAACGTGTGGAAGGTGACAGGGACTGCTGACCTCAAAGCGTCTGAGGGCCATACACTATAATTGTGCACATAAGTAGAACTTTGTATTCGAAGCTGGTCTTTAAATAGACAAAAAACTGTCTTTTTTTAGTACAGTAGGACTTTGAGCCTCCATGGCCCACGCAGACATTCTGGCACTTTTTATCTCTCATTTTGATCTAAATCTGTCTTACTCATCCGTTTCTACTCAGTCGTTCTCCCAGTGATGCAGTTCCCGCTTTGTGATTCTTAACTTTTGTTTGTCTTGGCTCTCTATGCCACCATCTGGAGCTGATTCAGCAATTTTTTAGGGTAGTAATTTGCCTTGCAGGCACCATAAAAAGGGGTTTTGTAATTTGATATCTATCTGGATCCATCATTTTTAAGACCTGTGGTTCGTTTCTCCGGATGTTACATCATCAGTGTCTCGTTATGTCTTTTTAAAATGCCCGTTTTGTTTGGTTATGTGACTTTTAAAGACACGTAGAAGCATTCATACTTGGCCAGCAAAGAATGAAAAACATCCCTTGATGCATGCAAAACCCCAATGCATATACACGTAGAGGCAGAGAATGTGCCAAAGTCAGTCTTTCGTAAGAGAAGCCCCCGATTTAATTTCTCCCTTTAGGTCATGTTAAGATTTCATATGTGCACACGGTGTAATGACCAGAACTAATTTGCCTCCCTCAAACGTTTAACTTCGCCCTTTAGCTAATGCCCTGTGAGCACATTTTTCTCCCCCTGGTTGGAGGAATGCTTCGGAGCCGTTTAAGTGTGAGGCTTTTGGTGTTTCACTGAGCTGCTGTGAAAAAAAAAAAAAGAGAAGTTCTTTTTGCTCCCCGAGTTGGACGAAGATTGAGGGAGAAGGGAGGAGGAGAGGTATATTTGTGTGCGTGTTACTGTGTGTGTGTGCAGTCTCCAGCTGTGGAATGTTGAGTCGGCAAGAAGAGCTCAGTGGCATGTCTGGAACCAATCAGAGAAGGGGAGCTTATGGACACAAAGGGTCAGAAGGGGGGTCGGGAGGGGTGTAGGAGGTACGGAAAGCTGGATGAGGAAGAAGAGGGGAAAAAGGAGGAGAGTCAGGAGGAGTCAGGGGATGTAGGAAGAGGTGGGCTGTTAAACTGGAGCAGTGCTTTGGGTCGGGCTTACCCTGTCCTCTGCTGGTGGGTTTCTGTACAGGTCGCAATCGATTGAAACTGATTATGGAGGGGATTTAAAGGTGCAACAGTGTGTGTGATGCGTTCTTGTCCCTGTGAAGGTACCCGAAGCACCTGTTCAAATCTTTTTTGTGTTTTTTTTGTGTTGTTTTTATATAAAAAAATAAACAAAGTCTATGCTCTCAGAGCTTTTTTGGCTTATTATTTAATGTCTCCTTGAGTCTTGTGTGGGTTAAATGAACTCTCCCAAAAAACGCGTTCCACTTTTCTGCAAATTTTCTCTATGAGCTGGAAAGTGAGGTGAAGACTAATTTCTAAATGTGCGCTGCTTGTCCATCTTTGTCCACCAGAGGGCACACCTCACCTTCTGGATGTGACAAGCAGTCCTCTGATGAAATGACATGTGCTGAAGTTCTTTGGTCTGTTCTCTGTTGGAATCCCTCTTTTCCAACATATGTGCAACCAAATTTAAGAAAGCCAAAAATGATGATTTCCTTTTAGTTGTATAGTTTTAATTCAGTCATGTGATTTTATAGTTTCATGCTTATGACAACACTATAGAATCTGCATCTGGGCACTTGATGCCAAATTTGGAAGATGGCATTTCAAAAAGCATAGTTATTAAGCATTCTGTTTCTCCAGAGTCCAACTTGTATTGGTTTAATGTTACTATGAAAGAGATATTAGTTCACTTCAGTATTTTCTTGTGCTTCCCCTATAGCCACAGATTTTATACAGAGACGCAGGCAAAGTGCTGACACTGAATAACATTTAGCCATCCATATCCTGGATTTTTGCTGGATATAGCACAAACTGGGGCTACACAGAGACGTGGGGAGTACAACACGCATCTATTCTTTTACTAATCCTTTTCTAATCAGAAGTATTGATGGTCACCGCAGAACACTAGTGACTACACACAAAATAACTTGGTAAGTCCCAATCCAGGAACACAAGCATTTCCTTCTTTCTTCCAGGAAACGTAGATGATTGTAGCATTGTTCAGCACACATGATATAAAAGCACTGTAGCTTCAAATTTCTTTCAGACTCATTTGCCTTTTTCTTCTCATATGACACAGGTTCTAGTTTTGTGTCGTCAAGTTAAGCTCGTCCATCCACCAGCATGTCCAAACAGGTCAACAGTAGAAAAAAACAGTAATAAACAGGAGAATGTGTTAAATCCAGCACATGGTGTAACTGGAGCTTTTCGTGACTGAGCCCTGCACCTCTGCGGCCTCACATCTGAGCCGGTAAATTGCCAGTTATTCAAATCAAGTAATCCATCACACTTAGGGTGGGTGCCTCAAGCCATTCCTCTGCTTCCTGCGGGCGCTCATTTTAAAGCGTCCAGAGTTTATGTAGTTCAACGGTTCTACAATCCCCGAGCCCCAACACCTGTCGGTCCTGATGCGGCTCAGGTGTACGGAAACTGTCCTCAAGGAATATTTGCTCAATCCACAGACAATGTGTGTTTTTCCTCTGTGCTTTCAGACTGAGACTGCCTACTGTACACAGACTTACATCATTTGACTAACATGCGTGGCCTCGTTCGGGGGTCTGGAAGTGGTGGTGGAGGTCCCAGAACAATTTTCCTGCTTTATTTCTCCTCACCTTCTCTGAGCTACTTAATGATTTATTAACCAGCAAAAGAGGAGCGAAAAGAGAGGGAGAACACTTCAAAGGGCCCGGCTTATGCCCAATCAATATACTCTTAATTCAAAGGTTTGATATTCAGATGCTGCTCTTGTGTTGCTCACAAACTGCTGTTTATTTCCTCTCTGCCAGCCCCTTCTCAAACTTTTTCTTGTCCAAGATTTGTGTATTATTAAGGAGTGCTGGCACAGCATGCTGGGGGGAGGGGGGGGGATGTTGTAGAGAAAAAGCACCATTAACAAGTGAAATTAAAAACCCATTTACTCTCTTCAGTCATCCATTTGGAGCTAGGCCAAAAGAGAAGCAGCTGCTAGTTTAATTTAGGAGGGGGAAGAAAGTTAGAAAATCATTATGATGAAAAAGGGAAATCATAAAAAGACAAGGAAATAGGACCAGACTCTTTTAAAAAAACATTTAAAAAATAGGAATGCTAATTACAACCACATTAAGCAGTGGCTGGCTGGTATGTGCGGACGGGCTGGTTCTGCAGGTCTTGTTGCTGTTGGTATCATGTCAAGTCCTCGAGTGTCATTTATTATCCTTTTGTCAGTAATTAGATCCATTGAGCAAGGGCCGACCTCATGCGGAAACTCAAGCATTTCTTCACCAAAAGAGAGAAAAAGAAGCGCACAGCTTGTTGCATTTAGCTCTAATGATGGCTCTTTTTAGAGGGTCAGCCTTACCGAGGTGGTAACAAAACTCATTTACTCCAGGAGGTGTATCCATTCATGCAGATAATTTTGGTTTCATCTGTGTGTTTGGGGCTTTTGAGATAATTGCCTGTGAAAGCGTTTGTGCTGCCACTCAAGAGGTGCAGGTTGATCCACGAGTAAGCACCTTCTCCGCATATCTTTATTTATGAATATAATTCAATATGATGTAAGAGAGTTTGGAAGAAAATCAATTAACAGGAAGACTTAAGGCAAAAAAAAACAAAATGGCACTGTCTACTTTCTTCTTTTACGCCTAATAAAATATTCACATTTCCATACTTTTGGGGGTCATGTGATCGGTGTGGTGTCTCCTGGCCAAGTCCTCATATTAATTGTTGTATCCCTCCTTCGACATAAGACAAAACAAGCCAGCTTCTGACTGAAATAGTGTTTGTACAGAGCCATGAATAATATTTGAGGTGTGTTGCCAATCAATGCTGGCTCGTGTTGTTCACAGATACACACCATTGTGTTATAAGGAAAAGAATAGGAAGTTACGTCTGGACGTATTTAGACAATCCCACACTTGTCTCCTTTTCAAAAATACCGCAGGATATCGAATTTAAAGTTAAAAGATGGATATGAGTTTAAAGTGAAAACTTTACTCAATGAGAATTCTAAATGGAGAAAGGAAATAATCAATATAGCTTCAAATCGAAAAGAAAATCCCGCACACTCTCTTGCTCTGCATCACTGTTTGCAAATTTACGAGCCAGGGCATTGTGCAGGATATTTTCTCTTTGATTTGAAGCTCTTTAATACATAGAGCACTCTCTTTCAGGGCCGCAAACGAAGCTGAACCAACTTTAAAGGAGGGCGGTGCTGTTAATTATTTCCTCATCGATTAAAAAGTCAAGATGTCTGAGTGTTTTCCTGATTGGGGAGTGTGCATCTGCAACCTTATCCTCTGTTTGGGTAAAAAACAAAGGCAGATAAATGAGAATATCCTACCAAGGGAGGAAAGCTCTGCGGCCACTGTGTTCACATGTAACCACAGCAACCAGCCCATTGTGTCCACTAAGGAGATGGCTGTAATCTAGCAAATAGAATACCTTAAATTATGATAACTGTCTCTCCCTCCCCAAGTAATATTAATATCAAAACTCAATTGGAAGAGGCAAAGATGCAGGTGTGGGAAAACATATAGATTGTGATTTATGTGCCACCAAAAAGATGCTGTCTGCCATTTTATCAGCTTGAAATAGCTTGCAATGCAAAGCATTAAGAAATCTCTGTTAAACATGTGGCACTGGCACAGGATCTTCATGTGTATTGAAGAGAAAAAGGGCAGAAGCAGCAGAATGAGCATCTTCAAATTCTGCCCTTGGTTTCAGCCAAAATCTGTAAATATGATTAGGTGGTGCCTCACAGGAAAAATGAACGACGACTCAAAACAAAGACATGCATTATCTTGCTTTACCGTATCTTTCCGAATTTGTGTTGGTAGACAAAAACTGAGGAAAAAAATTACATATCTATTTTAACTTTATCTGTCCAGTTTCCTTTGAGAGCCTGGAAATTGTGCATCTTTCCCTCCTGTGAGGCAGTAACTGGTGTCGCCTCGGATTTTATGAACCGTCAAAATGTGTCTAACTTTATCAGACAATCTGACATGCTTCGGTGAATGTGTTTGTCAAATCTTTCAGCGAGCAAATGGTTCGCATCTGAGGCCACAAACAGCTAAAGGGACCCTGTTGAACGCTGACACTCTGGAAATGGCCACAGTGCTCAAAGGCAGCACACGTCTGCGGCACCATGAGCTTCTGGTCGCGGTTGCCCTGCGATGTGTCCTTGTGCTGCATGACATCACTCTTTGGACTTCTTTTCACTTCCACTGAGTAAATATGACAATCTCTGTGGGGGGCGGGCCGATTGAAAACCCCTCACAGCCCCGCTGACATGGCCTGAGATGAGGCACTTCGCTCCCAGGGCAGAAGGCCCCGTCTGAAATCGCCCATTGATTTTGAGTCAAAATGATTTTTACGGTTGTGAAAAAAGAAATCCCGTGTGTCACCTCCCTTTAAAGGGAACATCAAATTCCCTAATCTTTTGCCCAAATCAAAGGCCCTCGCACATCAAAGTGCCTAGATCAGCAGAGATGCACAAAGGGGGCCAACACCAGCAAGAGGAAGAGGAAAAAAAAAAAATGCTGCCTTTGCTGCGCCGTCCAAACTCATTTTAACTCCGGTCTTTCTTCTCCCTTCCCTCCTCGTCTCTTCAGTGAGTTTGTAGTGGCATTGTGCCTCCGTTTGAGCGTGTGTGTGTGTGTGTGTGTGTGCCGTGATGGACAGCTTTTAGAGAGAAAAACTTGGAAGGCCAAGAGGTGGATGGTGTGCAGAGACAGGTTGCTGTTGGTGGGGGGCTGAGGCTGGAGGCTGCGTGGTGCACTTATCTCCTCTGTGCAGATGAGAGTGGCTCTTTGCCTGCGGGATGCTGCTCTTTCTCAGGCCAAGGACGGCAACCACGCGGCGAAAGGGATTATGGGCACGTTGTTTGCAGTCCCAGCCTTCAGAAAAAAAAGGCGGTTGTTTTGTTTGCTGGCCGTCTTTCAGGTATGCAATTAGCACCCGTAATTGGTCCAATTAGCACTTACACTGCTTACATTGCAGTTTTTTTCAGAAGCAAGGTGCTTTTTGTACAGATAAACCATTAAGAATGCTATCGTTAAATCAAAAAAGGGCAATGACTGAAAAACAATTATGACTATTTGTCAAAGTTTTAATAATAATTTTCTTTCCCTTTTTAATTTTCTTAAAACTACAAAATAAAATAAAAATAACAGTAACAGTTTAACTTCACAAGGCACCCAATCATCCACCTGCCTGATGACAATTCCTCACTGTAAATGCCAAACGGTAC